AGTTGCCAAGATAGTTGCAGAATTATTTCCCACCTTGAAATATCCACCCACATTGACTTCTGTAACCGTATAATCTGGTCACCTTCCCATGCTTCACAGTGACTGGCGTCTTAGTAACATTAACGCCCGTCTCTGGCTGGGATTTAATTCTTGGGTCTGTGCCCAAGAAGTGTGGGCAGACTGTTCACCCCCTGGCCAGCATTAGCGCTGTTAAACAGCCTTTAAATGCAGATGGCAGAGATGAGAATACACTCCCCCAAACACAGGACATACAGTGCAATCACATGCTTCTAATTAGCCCAGTCCAAAGGTGTAGTGTTAATGTGTATGTAATGAATGTGTGCGTAGGTTCCAGTGTGAGCACACATTGCGTGTGTGTATGTGTGTGTGTTGAGAGAACAGGCGGGTGTTAATAGCAAACACCTGAAGCTTGTAAGCACAGTTCTGGCTGTGTCACATAGTTTGCAAAGACTTAACGACTGCTGGTCGGGTTGTAACTGTGAGCATGACAGTGTCACGATGCTGTTTGAGCTGAGAGGAAACAAGAGATGAAAGTCAGTCAGAATTAAAAATAACGATCTCTAGAAAGTTTATCCGCTACTCCACTAGAGAGCCCTGCCTCCAACAAACATCACTTTTTCATCAGATGGAAGTCATTGAGTGAAAAGTGTCAATGAGAAGCTCAACATCATAATTTCTCCTGCTGCTGCACAAGTGCTGCCCCCTGTTGGGCCCCAGTCTCATTGCATGCTGAAAGGTGAGCCCCCCCTGATGCAGAGGGAATAGCTTTAATGACAGAAATGCTGCTCATGCTGTGTGGTAGTGAGCCTCTCGCACACATCCAGGCAGCTATACCTCAGCCTGTGATCCTGGTGCTGAGAGATTCAAGTTTCAGGTGGGAAGAGCTGGTGCTAAAGAGAGAGGAGGGTCTCTTCTTACGGAGTCGTGTTGAGAGAGAGGTGCCTCTGTCGGCCCCTCAAAGGCTCAGGGACACAAACTCAGACTCACACAAACACGCACGCAGCAGACATGCAGCACTGTGGGACCATGATAGAGACGTGTAGACTCTCTTACAGGAACACAGATGGTACACACACATGTAACCACAGCTCAGCTTAAATGAAAAAAAAAAGGATTTTAAAAGCCGCAAAGTCAGAACCAAAATCATGAGGTTTCTTAAGCAGTACCAGAAGTTTATCAGCTGAGAAACCTTCTCTACATATAAACACTTTTTATGGAAAAGAATCTCACAAGTCTGTTTTAAGAAATGAAATAGAAGGGTATAAAAAGTCACCAAGAATATGGCTGCATTAAAGTTTTTATAAACAAAATAGCCTTTTGTTTCACCAAAAACCCCAATATTTAAAGATCGGAATCTGGAGAGAACTTTAAATAAACTCATAAATAGTTGTGGGGGGACTGAATTTCTAAACCAAAACCACTTGATTACACAGCAATTCAGCAAAATCGGCACGGGAAATGACATGTAAACATCTGATAAAATAATATCATCTCATGAAGGAATAATATTTAAATATACTTGTGTCCATTCAGGGCGATGCAAGCTTTTACAGGATACGTCTGATTACAGTTGTGCTGCGCAGAAAAGCACTGAATGGCAAAAAAAGAACTATTGCAAAGAAGTACAGCCTGCATTAACAGTATCAGTGGCTGCTGAGTGCAATCAACAAATACCTGCGCCAACTTTGTAGACCTGCCAGCCCGAGCCGGCGAGTCGACTTGGCACAGCAGACTTCAGACTGGAAAACAGAATCTGTTGAAAGTGGGCCATAAATTCCACTTGAGAACGCTTTCACCTGTTCTTGTTGCTGTTGGGAGGCTTTTTACACTTGGAGACAAAGAAAAGGGAAAGGAAAGAAGGCAGAGCCAGGGAGGGAAATACCACATATGTGTAGATAAAACATCTTAACAACTTGACCTGTGCTTTCCATTCTAGATTCAGACGAAAAGGTGTGCATGCTGACGCTTTATCTCTTCGGTTACAATGCTAAGATTCCACTTTAGCTGCAACTTTTGTGAAATCTGGAATGTTATGAATGCCAGCTTCAATAAAACACACACATCCTGTTGTTGCAAGCCAGAGATTTTCTCTGGCAGCAGAGCGCATTTCTTCAGTCTACAGGTGAGGTAAAACCACTCATGTAAACCATCAAATACACACTCAATCAGCCACGGCATATCAAATAAAGCAGCAACTTCCCCCTCAAATGAAAAGAAATAAACCTTTCTTTGATTTTACAAGCGTATCAGGAGACTGTGTGTAACATGATGTGGATCACACACTGTTCTCCACCCGTGGAACGATCACAAGCCCTGTAATGAACACCGCAGGCCAAACGTGGCCATTCTTGGCACACAGTCGCTCTGTCTATTAAAGAGAGCATCCCCCACTGACACCACGCATCAGAGCCCCGACTGGACACCCCAAACCACACTGATCTGCTGAGTGTTGAGTCCTGCTGTCACAGTATGGACCCTACACAGGCTTAGGGGCCCTAATCCTCCACACAGGAACGCAAACACACACACATACAGTATGAGTTCACTTGCCAAAAGCGTAGCAGGTAGACACACAGTCAGGTTTCACAAACAATCAGTCATGTCGACACTGTAGCCCTGATATGATGCTGCTCATAAGTGTGCTCTTATTGTAGTGTTTTTGTAGGAGGTGGTGCAAAAGAACAGAAACAGATACCTGGAGGACAGACGCAATCTTGGCCAACATCCCTAGCTGTCCGCATTTTTGGTGTCATCACCTCGACTTTCTGCAGACACACAGAGCAAAAATTAAGCGTAAGAATTAAACAGAGGTCCAAAACATGCCTGAACTCAAAACCTAAAGCAGTGAATTAAGACAAACATATAGAAAATGCATGGGAATCATTCACCATATGCACAAAGAATGGTAAAGATCCAAATTAAATTCTATAAACACCACTTATCTACCAGAAAAATGAGATCATACCCCTTCCTTCTTATAAAACAAGCTTCAGAAAGTAAATTCAAGCAATTACTTTTTCCATGTGATAGAATTAAAGGTTGATGTCCATTATCTGTGATTATGTCACCTCATAAAGAGCTTTAACTATAAACTAATTGGCCAGCTGCATGCATGGTTAATCCCTAAGGTCAAGAATCTAAAGGAGATGCCATTGCCAAAAAATGATCAATTTTTGAGTCATACACTGTACTGCACATGTCTCCACTTATTACACACACTTTACGCACAGGTGAGCAGTGAGTGTGTCAGGTGGTCACATACACAGAATATGCATGTGTGTTACTTTCAAACAATCAACAATGGTACCTTTTCCACGAGCCTCTCTATTGGGGTGCTCAGCTCTGGAGTTAGGGTCCCATCCTCGTTCAGAAAAGCCGCGTGCTGCGGGAGGAAGATAGACGTTTTGTCCATCTCCATCTGCAGTCGGTTCTCAAGCTGGAGAGTCCTGAAGCTCATGAGAAGACACACGGAGACGGAGCTCAGAGACATCAACAGGCACAGCGCGATATGAAATCCTGGAAGCCACCGCTGGACCGCGGACTTGGGCGCACACTGACACACCGGTTTACTTTCCCCGACACACTCGCTGGCTGTATCCATGCTGAAATCCGACTTCAGAAGTCCTCTTGATTAGAATAAAATAATCAAAAATAACTTGTTTTGTTGGTTTGGGTGAGTAACCAACGTGTAATCAGGCTCCGTGTGCGAACTATCTAATTCACAACACTAACTCCTGCACGCTGGGCTCGGGGTTCAAAGCGCTGTCTCTAATTAGTCCTGGAACAAGAGGCTGCAGCAGTGCGCACAGATGGGAGCGATCTGGATGACAAGCAGAGAAGAGGCGCCTACTAACGTGCAGTTCGTTGTTTCCTGTTGGGGAGTATCCTACATGGATGTGTGATTGCAACTACCAATGGGTTCAATTGTTTGCCTCCCTAAAAGTTGCACGTTCAACCAGTTGAGATGCGCCCGCCCTGCTGACCACGTGGGAGGCTGCGGATTGACAGCTGTAAGTGATTGGCCAACTTCTGATCAGGCAGAGGCGTCAGTTTAGCCGTAAATGATGTTAGAAGTCCATTTTCACTATTGTTTCCCAAACTTTTATATACCGATATAACTTTTTATACCGATATCGACCAAAATATATAAAGGATAAACATTGTGACAGCTGACTTCTCTCGTTGTGAGTCATTATTATTTTAATTCCGATTAGTGCACAAGTCTGCTCCATGAACTTCCTTCTCTTGTACCCAGATCATTGCTGTCGTAGTAAGACTGGGCGATTTGGCCAAAAAGATGATCACAATATACTTTGTCATATTGTCCGATCTCGATTATTATCCCGATTTTTTTTAAACTGCCAGTTTTAAAGCATCTGTACTTAAAACTAAAAAATAAATAGATAAAGAATAAATAAGACGTTAAATAACTTTTCTTCTCAACAATAATGTCTGGAGGATGACTCAAAGTCATGGCTGACATCTATTTTACTACTCTGTTTACTTGTCCAGCAACTTACAGAAGTGAGCAGGAAAAGCTCCACTCTGATTGGCTGTTGTGGTGCACACTTTCGCCATGTTTGATTAAGTAAGCTCACTGCTGATCACCGTCATTGAACTGAAATTTATCACAATCATGAATCACGATCATATAACCGCCCAGTCCTATGTCATAGTTTGTTTGTTATGGACGTTTTCATGCGGGGCTTTTCATGCAGAGTAAACTTTTGTGACATGTTTTCTCGGGAAGGTCTAGACGATAATTGTTTTCCAAGTTTAAGAAGCTGCAATGCTAAAACACTTGAAGATTTGGGATGCTAGAGTAACAGCTTTGTACGGTGACCATCACTACTGTTGGCTCTTCCACAATACCAGACATGTAAAGGGTAATTACGACCCTTTACTCCCCCCTGGTGGATACATTTAGGTACTGCACCAAAGTGAAAAATGTTTTCACAGATAGCACTCAGGACACACTACTGTAGTTTGTTCACGTTTATTAAGAAATGTACATGGTAATGCAAAAGTTACGTTACCAGTAAAAAAAAAAAAAAACATTTGAAAAAACATTCTGCAGAAATTTTTTTTTACATCTCCAATCCTGAATAAATTACTTGGTGACATTAATGCAGGGAGAGAGCAATTCTCAATCTGCTACATTACCCATCAGCCCTTGACAACGCAGTGATTCTGAACAAAATTGGACTGATCATGAATTAAAAAAAAACACACATTCAGGATCTTCTTAGGAATTGACTTACAATGGCAAATAAATATAAATCACAGGAGGACACGATACACCAAAACATGCTGCAGTGGAAAACTTAAAGAGAAGCACTTAGAAACAAACTGGTTTAGAACAAGACTTATTGAAGCAGGGCAGTGGACTGATACAGTCAGCTAAAGTTCACCTCTCCTGGAGAGTCAGGGTGTATAGGCTGGCACTGATAAACAGATGCAGCTGAGCCCTGTCGGGGCTTTCAGGTCAGAGGTTTCATGCAATCAGTCTTTTTTGCTGCTGCTGCTGCTTCTGCTGCTCAAACTTTTGCTGCTGGTGCTGGAGCTCTTGCAGTAAGAGGAGAAAAAGGGATGTCTGAGTGCCTGCTCCAGACTGAGTCTCTTTGATGGATCGTACGTCATCATCTTCTCGATCAGGTCAAACAGCTGGTGGTGGTCCTCGCCCTTTGATGAGAGGTAATGCTGATGGCAAAGAAAGTTTGAATTAGTCTCTTCAAATTATGCCATCATTGACCAACTGCTCTACATTACAATTTCTTATTATATTACTCCAATAAATCAACATGAATAGAGGATGGCTGGGACAAAAAGACCCGGGCAGTAAATGTTTGGTTGGTAATATCCACCATTTTTTATATGACACCATGCAAGTGTCTGGTTTACTCTTTTTTTTTTAAGCTGCTGGACGCAATTTTATAACTCATGATTGGCAAATATCAGCCAAATTACATTAAACAATTTGTAAACGGAGATCTGCAGATGTATAATTAAATTTAAAGAGTAAGGCAAACTCCAACTCAGCAGTATTCTTCTTACCTTTAGAGGTTTGCAGTGTTTCCGAACGTATCTCCCAGAAGAGCTGTGCACATCCCAGTCAAGCTTGGCTCTGTGGACATAGCGCTGTTTCCTGTAAACCAAAAATTATAGTAACATTAAAACAGGTCAACCAACCATGGCCCAATAAATTGTGTATCAAAGTCTTTAAAATATTACTAGATAAACTCAGTAGTGGGATCCCCTTACTTGGTTTTCTGCAGCAGGTGTGTTGGGATGGGGCCCAGGACTCTCTCCATCATAGCCAGATGCTCTTTACTGTCGTGAGTCTAATAAGAGTTTAAAAAGAGAACAAAAAATACATAAGCCATCTTGCTGGTACCAAACTGATGGTCACAATGCAAAAAAAACAAACAAACAAACACTCCGGTTATAATCGCCACCTACCTGGAAGAGAGTAGATCCAAGGTAGTACTCAATGAGTATACAGCCTATACTCCAGACATCACAGGAATGATCCCAGCCAAGATCTGAAAGGCATCAAGTTCACTTAGTGACCAGACCAGTTGGTTTCAATGCTCTACAGCAGAGTTCAAAAAACATCTACTTACCCAGAATGACTTCAGGGGCACGGTAGTGACGTGTTGACACCACAGAGGTGTGGTGCTCGTGTTCATATGTGGCGTTTCCAAAGTCGACTATTTTTACATCGGGGTTCCTCAAAGTTCGCTCGTCCCGTTTCTGACCCCACAAAAAAAAGATGTTTGTTACTCAAACAGCTGCTGCCACAAACAAGACTTATACACCTGCACATAAGACAGCCAACAACACACAAACGTCTGGGTGGCTTACCATGTCAGGGTTGTACTCCATATCATAGTCGGAGTCAATGAAGAGAATATTTTCAGGCTTCAGATCTGTGTGTGTCAGCTTGTTCTTATGCAGAACTGCAAGACAAATCCACGGAAATATTAAGAGGCAGTTTAAAAAATAAAACTTTTATAATCTGAATGCTCTCTTCTTGCTTACTACTCACATCGCACAGCACGGATGATCTGGTACGCCATGTGCCTGATGTGATCTATAGGGAAAGGCTGGAAGTTGTTCTCCTTCAGGAAATCGTAGGTGCTGAGGCCAAGCAGCTCAAAGGCAATGCAAACATGGCCGTGGTAATCGAATGAGTCCAGCATGTGAACACAAGCACTGAAAAAAGAAGGAGGTAAAACACATATAAGTAAATAAGACCAAAGTTTTTAACAAAACTTTGACATCAGGTCCTTCCCAAGCAGGTGACTTACTGTCTTTTGTCGGGGTCAAGGGATTTCAGCTGTTTAAGCACCTCTACCTCAGACATAGCTGCCTCTCGGTAGCGGTCTATGTTTTTAATGATCTTCAGAGCTACTCGAGCCCCGTTACTGCAAACATACATCAAACAAACCGTTAATATCATAAGGGATAAGGGAGTGTAGAAGAAAAGGGAAATCTATGAAATACTTTGTGTTTCACTTACTTAGAGTGATCAATGCATTCGGCAACCTTCCCAAAGGCACCCTCTCCTAGAGTACACAGAATCTCATCTACAGAAAATACAAAGTTGAAGTTAGAGATGCAGCATTGACAGCAGACAGCCCTTTGGCTGATTCACTGCCTGATGTTACATTGCTCTGCGCTACACTACAATAAACAAGCTTCTGAACACTGAGGTACAGCTCACTGCTAAGTATGTTACACAGACAGGCAATATGTAACCAATACAGTTTTAAGTCTACTGGCCCAAATAGTTCAGCCTCTTAATTAATCTTTGGAGACAACAAGAGAGTGAGAGAAACAAAGTGTGAACAACAGTAGAAAAAAAAGGTATATATTCTATACATCTCGCTTTCAGCATGTCTCCACTGTGATAGATGAGGTGACCCTCGTCATCATCCTCAACACTCCTGGATCTTTTCCTGCTCCTGTGACGATGGCTCCTCCTCTGCACCGGAACCGCCGCAATCCGCCATCACATCAATAACCCATCAGTCAGCCAGCACCAGGCCACCACAATGCGACATCGTCATTCATTCAACCAGGCCAAGGGGGGGAGGTGAGGTGTAGGGGTGGATAGATTCGGCCCGTTCAGTAACACCGCCAGGCGAATGGACGGAGCAGCAAATTCAAATTCAGCCCCGTCAGAGAAATTGGGCGCCAGCCACCACATAGTGTGTGTTACAGAAGAAAAACATGGCAACAAGATTTTCAGATGAGAGACTTTCTCAAAGTAGTACAGAAAAAAACTGAACTTGAGTTAACTCTTATAGTAAGATCTCTGTAGCTCTGCCTACAGGTACAACTTTTACTCTTAAAAATCACCTCCCATATCTGCCCACTAAGATTTCAGCACAAATTTTGGGTCCACTTTTCTTTTAAATCTACAAACACTTCCATTCCCTCGCTTCCCAAGCCCCCCCAAGTCCTCTACTTGTTATTACTGGAAATCATGCTTTATCGTGAAGAGTAGGACACACAAACAGATAGAGAGACAAGAGATATGACCCATCCGATTTGGTGATATAGACAGGAGTGGAGGGAAGAGAGGAGAAGGGAATCCTCGTACCGTGGAAGACCTGTGATGAGAGTGGCTACGCCTGCGCCTCCTGTCTCTGTGACGGCGGCTGCTTCGCCTGCTGCGACCACTTCGCCCGCTTCGCCCAGATGACTTGCTGTAGTGGTGCCAGTCCATGTCTCTGTCCCTGCAGGTGCCATCGCGGCTGTCCTCCTCACGGGCCATGTTCAGACAGTAGTCCTGGGTGTATCCTTCCCGTGAGTCCAGCCTGTGGTTCAAACTGCGGGTCTCCAGATACTGCCTGCAGTCAAACAAGAAAGGAAAGACGGATTAAACACCAGAATGAGAAAACGTTGTCTGAGTCAGGAGCGCTCCGTTCTTCGACTGCGGTCAGACTCCTCGATGAAGGTGGTAGTGATGGTGCTAATGATCCGCCTATTGCCTGACACCCTATCCCCCTGAGCCTTTTATGTAACATTTGTAATTAGTAACATACCTTACACCCACATCTGACCAAATTTTCTGTTAACGAGGATCTTCTACTGATTAACAGTTAATCACATACTTTCTAGGGTTAGGTTTCTAAGTTACAAAATCGTAATGCATAAAAATGGGGTCATCGAAAACAGCTGTCTTTTTTGGCAACTTGAAACATGCATTCCTTTTAAACTTGTGCATTTTGACAGACAGCCACATTGGCAGCGTGAAGTGTAACCCATTAAAAGTTGTGGGAAGTGTTTTAGCACCACCTGATGGTGTGTAATACAATCTGTGATATTACACCTGAGGAACTCCGCATGCCAGGAGTGAAAACCAAATGTGAAGCCATTTCTACAACGCAAATAGAGCTGTATAAAAAATCTATAGCAAAACTTCCTTATTTTACCACAGCCATTCCACGCTTACTTTCACATCCAAGACTTTCAAACTTTTCAAACCACCTACCAAGTTTATAACGCTAGCAGTTAAGCAAGACCAAGAAAGCATTAGGGCCTGAACACCCTGGTGGTGTCGGTTATCCACTGGGTAGAAGTCTGCCTCCCTACAGACTTAAAATTAGAGTACATCTGGAACATCTAATGTGACCCCACAGGCAATCATGCATGCATACAAGAAGATAGAATTGCGAAACATACTGATATTGGGTTTAACTGAAATAGACGGCACTGAAATTGCCAACTGGAAATATAAATATTACTTTTACATTCAACCCCAAAAGAAAAAGAACTGCCTCTGTCAGTGAGGAAATAAAACCGACATTTTCCCCACTCATGTGTGGTCTGAAGTTTCCTACATATGTGACTGTTGTTTAAAAGTTTATATCTCTGTATTTCACCCTGACTTTTAATCAAGAATTTGACAAATTTTTGCTCATATACCTCATGATTTGATGGTAGTTATACAAACAGTTTTAAAAAAAAAAAAAAAAAAAAGACATCAAGTGCAATCTCAAAAAACCCCATAATAAAATATAGTTACCCCTCATACTTCTTGTGGTGATATTGAGTTCTTCTGGACTTATTTTCTCTTTCGCTGCTATGTGAATCTCGTTTTCTCCGTTTGCGACACTCCATTCTCTCTTCCCAACTGTATTCATCTAACCAGACACCCGGGGAGCGCATTCGTTTTGAGTGACGCATCTAAATGGATACAGAAAAAAAACAGTTAAAATGGCATACAAGAAGACATTAATGAATGCTAAAAGACACCATGGTCTATACATAACTTTTAGCAGAGCAGCATGTCTGTTTCAGAGGAAAACCCTCCCCCAATGGATAAGAATGTTTACTATGCACAAACATGTGACTGCAGCCAGCCAAACCAGAGATTTTATCATATCGGTAAGGAAATGTAAAGAAAGGATAAACAACTTAAAACTGTCGTTACATTTAAATTTGATGAGCAATTTCGTAACACAATCACTGATTTCTGCCATTTCATATCGAAAACTTAAATTTAAAGAAACATCTACTTTACACCATATGTTACAATTCACCATAGATTCAAACTCTAACTGTGGAGTGTTGACCAAGTAAACCACACAAAGGTACTATTGGGTTAAACAACTTCCGATGAAAATATTTAATTTTTTTAATATGCAATTTGAGTGAAGAAAATGAAAACATTTATAATATGTGAAGTCCAAAAAACAAGTGATAATGGCACCATTCTTGATAGTTAGTCAATCTTACCAAACTCAAAAAACAAAGTGGCGCTTGAGACAACACGATAATTGCAAATGCACTGCCATGATATCGTGTTATATCGAACACGCTGTACTCACTAAAATTAAAAACTGAGTTGGCTGAATGCCAGTAGGAACATGCGCGCGCAGCGTCTTAAATAACTGTTTGCGGCCTACTAAAGACGAACTCACACCTGTGTTTTTGTTCACTATGTTTAGCAAAACCGTAGCGTACCCCGTGCCTGACAGCAATTTTGAGCTACTAGACATGAGAAAAGACAAAGCAGAATGTCGTCAGATAATATTTTCACGTTAACTGTAGGGGCCTACTTGGCTCACCAAGAGTTAGCTGTTAGCAGCACACAACACAATATAGTTATAACTTTACGCCTTGCTTACAAACCACTCTAAAGTACACAACTAGGTTTTAAGACGTTGGCTAGTCTTGCTGCAGAAATAAGCAATCGAGTACGTTAAGTAACACTGGCACAAATAAAGGAAAAAAATAATGGAAAACACCGCGCCTGGCCCGACATCACGGTTTGCCCTGATGGCAGGGCGTCAAATTTCTAAGAAGCTAACAGGCTAACGATAAAAAACACTACAACTGGACATCTACCTTTAAGAACCAACCAAACTGTGACGCTATGCTTACCCTTCTATCACAACGACTCGTCTGACTGTGTGGATCAATTGTTTTTTTTTTCTTTTAATTTCAATACATCAACAAAGAAAGAACCCTTGACTGTTCGTCTTCAAAGATGGCGACTGTCCCTGAAATCCGGTGGAACGTTCTTTGACAAATATCATGACGCAATACACAAAAGCCACGCCCAAGCACTTTCCGCTTGGGTTTTCTGTGCCCCTGAGTTTAGATAATCAGGTACAAGCAGACCACGCGTATAGACTTCTTGTATAACCTACTCACCAGTAAGCGGCCTCAATTTTTTTGAACATCTTATAATATTTTATTTTAACGCTTAATTACATTACATACTAAATTACTATGTCTTGTGTGTAAAAACTGTATTTCTGCCGTAGGTATTTCATCTTTTTTAAAACGGCTTAAATTGTTAATATACAATGTGACTAAATGATTTAACGGTATAACAATATTATCACAATATTTTACGTTATCTTTCAAATGCTTTTCGTTATAATCCTACATGATAGTTAGATATACCTCGCCTCAGGAACTACTGTAAAAACTCCTACATTGATGGGTAAAGCTGTCAATGCAGCAAAGGATTCTCTAAAAAGTTTATTAGAAATGTTTTGACTGAACAATACTTCCCTTATCAACTAAAAACAAAATATGTTCTGAGAGATTTTAGTGTTGTTGAAGCAAGAACGATAAGAAAACAATATTTGTCTTATCCAATCCCTCATAAAGCAAATGAGGTCACATTTAAAATACTAAATGACATTTATCCATCAAACCACTTCCTGCATATAAGATTTTGTTGGGATAACAATATGTGTGGATTTTGTGATAGCGACATTGAGACAGTAGAACATATTTTCTTTGAACGTGAGCATGTTGTACCCTTTTGGACATTATTTCAAAATTAGTTGTTATCCAAACAAAATATTTTGCCCCATTAAACTGGATGTCAATCAAGATTGGACTACAGTTAAAGGAAAAGAACTTGGACTTCATGGTGAACATTTTAATTACACTTGGAAAACATTTCATTCACAGATGTAAGTACCTCAAGATGAAGCCCCACTTTAGTAGATGCTTAAATGAACCCAAAAAATATTTGAAGTACATGAAAAACAAAAATTAACAAAAATGTTCTTTTGTTAATCTAAAAAGCTGGTTCAACACTTTATACTGTAAGTATCACCGATATGCCTTAATGTTTGTAATTTGACGAATAAAAAAAAAAAAAAAAAAAAAACGTTACTCTACCTGAAACGCTTTGCGCAGGGCACTAACACTTCAACCATAGACATATACGTAGACGCTTCGTTACGTGCTGGAGCGTAATCCAGCATCTCCGCCATATTGGATGGGTCTCCCCACTCCAGGCTCACTCAAGAGCCAACGGGCTCAATGGAGAGCGAGCAACTATGCCCGTTGTTTTGCACTCTGTGGTTGGAAAAACCCGAAGCAGAATTGAAACCAGATCTACGGATCACGTGGGATTACATTTCATAAATAGGTTTGAAAAATAATTTGTTTCATTTTTAATGTGTGACATTGTCCTGTATTATTGCTACATCCCTGCCGTTGTAACTTGTTAAACAGCGTGAAAATTTGGGCAGAGATTCGGAGAGTTATTATCAATATGGTTGGGCATTCCCACTTACCTTAATGCACTGGAGGCGCACGGGGGACCCATCCAAGATGGCGGCTGTTGACACGAGCGCTCCAATAGGCAGCGTCAGGCTTGAGTCGTCTACGTATATTATGTCTATGAACTTCAACCTCCTCAGCGTTGAATTATGGGTAATACATGGCTGCGCCCTGTTCACATTTTAACCATCTCACCAGGGTTAAATGCGACAAGTTACATCTAAAAAGGACTCCTGTCGTCACAACATTGGACACTTTGGTTTACACTTAAATAGTGAAAATGTCGGAGAACCCTGACGTCCCCGGAAGAGCACTCACGAGAGTGGTGATTTCTGAGATGCTGATGAAAAATTACGAGAAACTGCCAAACAACGATCAGAAACTTTTCCAATATGCACCTGTCTATCTCGGGGGGAATGCAGCAATCGCAGGACTGGTCTCCAACAGCTTGTACCGCCGGGCCCTGAACGTCAGACAGGCAGTTATCACCTCGGCCATCCCGATGTCCGTCCTGCCCTTCCTGACAACAGTAGCTCTGTACAGCGCAGTGGTGACCAACCCCCTCCTGTCCGGGGACCTCAACTGTCCCTCCTGTGCCTTCATACGAGGTGCACTTGTTGGTGTGGTCGGGGGTGGATTGTACCCCATCCTGCTGGCTTTACCAGTCAATATCGGCCTCGCTGCAAGGTACAGCAGTGCCCTGTTTCCAGAGAAGGGCAAGGCGCTCCAGTTTGCCGTGGACATCTCCAAGCCTGTCATGAATCAGATGAAGCTCGTGCTGTTAATCCAGGCTTTCTTCGGAGTTTATCTGAGCTCCAGGAACTTTGACGCTTACACCAAACTGGCCCACTTGACGTTCGGCCGGGAGGAACGTACAGACTAATATACGGAACCTTTAATGTTTGGCAAACTCAAAAAACCATCACATGCAAAATAATGCTGATTATCACCCCTAAGTACGAAATAAAGTCTGCGCTGCTTTCCGTAAAATCGCCTGTCTATCCACTGAATTTAGTGCATTTGCTATTTTTAATTGATGTTTAATGTTTTTTTTAGGGAAGAAGTCTGTCATCAAAATCTGGCATCAGTTGCTTTATCTCAAACAATCTACAGAAATCTAGCCAACAACAATTCTGGTGTTGTGATGTAATCAAACAAAAATTCCTTTCCCTCTTCATATTTTTGGATAGTGCTGCTGAAGTATGAAGTAGTGAAGGTCCTGGGTTTGAATTCGGGTCAGGGCGTCTCTGTGTGGAGTTTGCATGTTCTCCCTGTGTCTGCATGGGTTTCCTCCCACATCCCAAAAAACATGCAGAAGTGGGGTTAGGTTAATTGGCCACTTTCAACTTGCCCAAAGGTGTGCATGAATGTGAGCGTGGATGGTTATTCGTCTCTATATGTCGGCCCTACAATGAACTGGTGACTTGTCCAGGTTGTCCCCTGCCTTTGCCGGAAGATGCTGGGATGCGACCCCCAACAGGAATAAGTGGTAGAAAATGGATGGATGGATGAATGCTCAAGGATGAAACTGACTCCCAAGCAAAAATCTTACACAACTGGCCTGCTGGAGACAACATGGAGAGGTCTTTGCTGATCAGGCCCATGATTTTTGGTCATGTTCCTCCCATCCAGTTTTCTATAGGGAAATGGCAAAAATCATAACATCAATGTATCATTCACAACTCTCTATCTTGGAAATGTGCCAGATGGATTGAGTAAAGCTGATGTTTAACCTCTTAGAGTCTCACTGGCTGCAGGTAAAAACAGTCATCACAAAATGCTGGCTCCAGAGAAATGCCCCCACTATAGACACTTCTGTTCATATTGTAAAACAATTATATGTCCTCGAGCAAATGACTAACTCAATCTGACTTCAGAAAGATCTGGGTGAAAAACGATTGCAGAAATGGCATGCTTATATAGCTAATGAGTGAGACTGTTTTCTCGTGCTGTGTGTTATATTTTGTCTTTTGGATATTCTGATCACCCCCGGACCTTGAATATGTTTAATTGTTCGTAATAATGCCAATAAACAAATTTTTATTGAGTAGTACTTTATTAATATTGTAAGTGTTTACTAAGTGGTAAATTTTCTGGAACTAAACAGAAATAAATAAATAGGGAATGCAAGAATATGTACATATATTTAGCAAATGTTAAAGTAGAGGAATTATTGCTGGGTGATTAAAATTATTCTAGAAAAATGAAAAATATAGAAAGATAATGCAAACCATTTTTTGTAAGGAAATGGAAAAATAATGCAAGAGCAGTCAAATATGATTAAGTGTTGGCAAGTGGATGCAGATGTGTTGAAAGGGAATGTAAACTATTTGTTCAATATCACAAGAGAAATTAGAGGGGATGCTTTGCAAGAAACTGCAAAACATTTTGTCAAGAAAAAAGAAAAATTGAAACTAACTCCTGCAGTATTGCAAGGAATGCCAAAATATTGCAAGAGCTTAGCAGGGAAATGAAAACTGTACAGTACAGTAATACAAAACAGTCATAAAGGAAAGCAAATGTATTTTACGGGAAATGCAGGACTATTTTGAGAATTTGCAAAATATAGTGAAAGGTGACACTAAAGTGTAAAGATATTGGAAGTGATGACATTAAACAGTTTAGCAAGGGAATGCAAAAGTATTGAGGTAAATTCAAAAATTTAATCAGAGTCATCCAGAATTTGAAATCTTTATAGTAGATTTTTTTGTAAACGTAAAGCTCTAATCCAGATATGAATCTCAAACCAGGACAGAAAAGAATAAAAATCCAACTTTCCAGAGTTGTGAAGAAAAACAAGCAGCACATAGTAAGTTAAGCATGGTTGACTTTTATTAAAGGCTATTTGGGAACCAGTCACAAATGTTGCAGTGATGAAACAGCCAAACATTTTTTCTGCTTGGCTTCGTTACTCATGAAAAACACAGAATGCATTTCATAACTTGAAATGCACACAGCAATGTATGTATGTAAGCAAAGATCAGAAAATGCCAACGGCACCATTCAAAAGAGCAGAGTTGATGTAATGTAGATTGTCTTTGAAAACATACATTAAACACAGGCAATGTTTCAATTAAACATGTCTTCAGCTTGAATGGCAGGTTTGACTCTATACTTAACTTATGTGGGGAATGTGTTACAGGAAAAGTTTACTGATGGCAAATGAGGAGGGAGAGTTAAAGTCAGTTTGTTACTGGGATGGAAAGGTGCTTCTTAAGAGAAAACACTGACATCAATCAATCAGAGCAAACTCAATAAGACTGTTTTTTAAAAAGCTTATAATTACATAGTTCCCATTCCCATCCCCCATAGCACCTCCTCTCCTAACACCACCCCTTCCCACAATAAATGGCTCCCGAATCACAACAAAACTGCCAAAAAACAGAGCTCAATGACGACCCTACACAACGACAAAACACATTTCAAGTCAGAGGAACCTGAATTGTCAAAACAGCCAGTGATTCATATGGCACAAGTTTCCCTCCTTACTTTAGAGAAAGACAAAAGTCTCCAAATCACCATTGTCCTTCATTATCACTGCAAGGTTTCTACTGCAGCAGGTTTCTTCTCAAGGTGGTTACTCTTAATGCCCCTCTAAATGCACTGATCTTAGCATGCCATTTGACTTCATATTCAGTAGAGGAAAGTAACAATAAAAACTATACATCTGTCAGCACAGAAATCTCCATAAATATATCAAACAACTGAACGTCAGTCAGAGAAAACTTCCTGAAGAGCAGGAAGATGAGGGGTAAATGTCACCTGTACACAATCTACATCTGACCCTGCTCTTGTTGTGACCTTTAAGCTATACTGTAGTTGTTTTGCTTAATGGCACAATACATTTAAAAAGGAGTAAACATTTTTAAAACAGCTCAAATTCCCCATCCAGTACTTTCCCCAAATAAAATACAATAAATAAAATGACAATAAGAGATGACCAACGAGCAGATCCAGTCATTCTCATGCAAAACAAGACAATGACAATCTGAACAGACATAAATGCATGACCAATTGGATCACAAACACGCACGCACGCACACATAAAAGTACACATGAGACAAACTGGTACAATGCTCAAGCCATGTCCTCTTCTGTCTTTCCAGATTCCTTCAGTAGACCTACAAAAGTTGATAATGGGCTAGCCAGCGCCCTTCACATCATTGTTAGTTTCATTACAGTACGTTACAAGTAAAGGAAATAAAGTTCAAATGAATACCTAGACAATGCTTAGGAATAAAGGCTGAAGAGAAAAAGAGAGAAAAGGAGAGAGGAGCAAATACAAAAACAACTATAGCATCTGTAGGAATTTCATTTTATAAAGTGGTTTTCCCTGTAACCATACTTGCTGTAGTAGTAAACATATCTCCACAGAGTAAACACACATCAAGGGAGGGGTAAAATTAGAGGCTGGACCCCTTTCCAACATACTGTACCTAAATCCCAGATAGTTCATATGCTGCAAAGGCATTTTGCTTCAGTTTTTATAGCTTAACTTAAAATCCCTTTTTTTTTAAAGACATGTTTGTTTGTTTGTTTTTTAACACTTTTCTGGATGAATCCCGTTCATCTTGTTCCATTTTTTCAACACTTCTTCATAGAAAAACACCTAATACCAGCTAGGTTCCTTCACAGTTCATTTTAGTGCAACAAGAACACACGGCTTCCTCGCTGGTGGGAGGGTTAGCTGCCATCAGGGCCTCATGTCTTTGCCAGAACGTTTGACCTGGTGCAGATAAGAGAGAGATTCATGAGGGACACGGTGTTGATGTGCAGGGTATAGTATTTGAAATGGGTTCTTCTCATTCTTACCTGAGTGCTTTCCACCTGTCCTTCTCTACCTGGTTCTCAGGACTCTCACTCTCATAGGATGCGAGGTAGAGTCCTGAGGGGGATTTTAAGAGTAATTCAGTTGAAATAAGGAAGGAGGATTGCTAAAAAAACAACAAATGAACACAAGTAGAAAAGTTTTCTGAGTTAAAAGTAGGTTCTCACCGTCCTCGCTGAAGATTGGAGCAGTGTGGAGGTAGTGTAGGATGGCCCGATCCTCTTCAAATGGACACTCCATCTGTTTCCATGTCATGAACTCCCCAACCTGCCGTGCCAACTCCATGAATTTCTAGGAAATGTAGCAGCACTTGGGTTAATGTTTGAGGGAGGTTCAAGAAAGTGGGGTCAAGACAAGAGGAATTGGATTACCTCAAAGTTGACGTGGCCGTTGGGCAGCCGATTGGCACATCCTTCATTCAGAAAGTAAATGTCTTTGATCAGCAGGCTGAAGAAGGGAATCACAATCTGAAGGGAGAAAAAACATACATGGAAATAGGAACTTCAGATGCATGTGTAAAAACACCTTACTGATGCCAGCTTGATTTCACAAAAAAGCAAAGCCCTACCCTTTCTCTGTTGCTGTTGGCAGTCCGCGAGCGATGAGCAGCCCCCCTCAGGGCTGTCCTGTAGTTATAAAAGTTCCCTGTAGGATCCATCTGGTGCTGTGAGAGCAAATGGCAACAAAAAAAAAACACTGTGAAGAACAAGTCATTACCTGTAGCCCCAAGTCAGTGAATCCTTGGATCGTGTTTTACCTCAAGTATGAAGAACTTTGCTGTCTTGGCTTTGCCCCAAGTCTTCTTCAGCCGTGAAACAGGACTCATGTTCATACCAGCTGTGGGAGGAAACATTCAGCTATTCACACCAGCCGTACAGCAATATCTCTGTGATAATACTCTCAGAAACTGCAGAGTTATACTCACAGATGATGGCCATGAGGGAGTTGAAGTTTCCAATGTTGAAACACTCCCGGGCAACATCGATGAAGAACTCTATCACCGTGGCCCTTTGCTTCTTCTTTGCCGGCTGCGGGAAAGAAGGTTCTTTTCCTCAAGTTTTGCAGTAAACTTTATATTTCTCTAAAGATATATCAGCACATCTACTTACTGTCCTTATAAGTTAGAGTATAATTACAGAAAATAACCACTGGGGGGCAGCAATGCTCTGTAAGAACCTAACCAGCTTTGTCGTCTGCACTTCTGTTTGTTTACAATATCTCCACAGAATGAGTTTTCCAGATAATTTCCATTGCAATGGCAAATGATACGCCAACAACAACATTTTTTTTTAATAGCACAAATATATGGATATGAAAAAAAATTGAGACATCTTCACAACAATTTATCTGATCTCTTTTCTTCTCTCTCCTGATGTCTGCCCTATTTTGTAAACAGACTAAGCATTTATAAGTACGTCCCTTGTTCATGCTCGTCATTTTTGGCACAGTGTGTATGTTTTTGGTCACCTCTAAAGTTAGAATCAATGAGCACCTGGCGTACCAACATTTGCCACTCACCATGCAGATCTCTGTGGCCACCAGGTAACACAGTCTGTTGAACCACCTGACATACGCCTCCAGGTTGGAGGTTTTCTTCTTCTGGTCGCTGAAGCATGGCTGCTGATGACACACAAACATGCACAAATGCACACACACACACACAGACACACCAGTTAGCATAGGAAGTGTTACAATAGGGAGTTCATCTGATCCTAATTAGCTTCCTATCTACAGGCTGACCCCCTGTGTGAGTGGTAATGACACAGACACAGAGCAGGAAGCAGATATAACACGATCAATGCAAACATGAGGAAAAGCTGTATTGGAAGGACAAATGGAGAGGAAATAAGTGAAAGTGACAGTATCTGATTCAAGGGGATGAGAAGAAAGAACATAAAGCTGGAGAAACACAACCTTTTTAAAGCCACTTTTGAAGCAAATCCACATGATGTATTAGAATTTAGAAGCAAATTTACGAGACACTTTTTGCTAGTTTACATTTCTCTGTAACAGATCCTTAAAATCTGCCTTTTTAGGACTCCTAAAAACATCACACTGACAATAAAAACAAATAGTTTGTGATTCCCGCGAGAACATACCGTAGTTCCATCTAAGGGGTCTTTCTGGGCGAAGGCATGGACAAACTCCTCTGGTCCAATGTGACTCAAGTGTTCCTAGAAAACATGACACAAATACATATGGTCACAAACAGAAACATCGATGGAAGCAATCCCATTAATAATTCGCTCATTTCAGTAATGGAACTTGATCAATAAGGAGAAGTAATGAGTCATCGACGTGACTCACTGGCGTCATATTTCCTCCAAGTGACACTTGGGATTATATTTAGTGCTGTTAAATGACAACTGTGCTGTCCTGGGTATGTGCACATCAAAATGACTCAGTGGAGACATTTTAAGGCCTGATATGATCTAAAACAAAACATTACTGCACACACACCCACACAGACATGTACTTCACACAGCGGTGTGAATAAAGTAGCATTCAACTGTTTTAAATAAGAATTACATGATAATTCTTACATTATAAAAAGAACAAGCCCTGTATGTGTGTACTGTACATGCCTGTCTTTGTCTCTTTTACTCTTTCCTTTTGTGTGAGAGTGTGGGGTGTGTGTGTGAGCCAGAGTGTGAAGCTGTCAGGTCACATATATCCATAGCGATTTTTATCCCCTTTGTTTGACGCCTCAGGCACATCACTGACTTCTAGGGGTGATGTCACAGCTTAGACAAGGGTACAAGCTTACTCAGGCACACACACACACACACACACAGACACACACACACACACACACACACACACACACACACACACACACACACACACACACACACACACACACACACACACACACACACACACACACACACTCACGCGTGCACAAACAAAATCACCCCCAGATACACGTGCCTACATCAAGGCACACATGAATAGACTGAAGACGCCATGCAAGCAGTGTGAGGGATGCTGCAGAGATCCTTTGTTCCTCTGTCTATGTGATACCCTTCAGTGTTGTGCTGTAAATGCTGACAAGTAAGGATCAAGGATTTACCTCTGTAAGTTTCTCTACATGCTACAACATCACAAAGTGGGAGGAGCCTGCTAGTTTTAGTTGCTATTCCACCTCCTGTCTGTTTGCATTTGTCCATGATCATTTTCATGTCTATGTTTGATGTCACATACTCCATGTTACTGTCCCCAGCTTGGACTATATCTCCACCCATGCATTATGATCATCCTTAGCCCCTCCTCTTGCCCCATCTTCCTTTGTCTCTGCTTCTCCTCCTCCATGCTTGTTATCATTTCTAGCCCTGACCTCTGTCTAACCCCCACATCCCTCCCTCCCTCCCTCCCTCTCCCCCGCCCCCCCTTTCTCCTCACCAGCTCCACGTGGGTGAGCTGCTGTGCCAGTGTGTATGGGTCGTTGCAGATGGAGAGCATGTCCTTCTGGATGGGTGGGGGCTTGGTTTTAAAGGCCACCAGCTTGTCAGAGATGGAGGAGGCATTGAGGGAGACCTTGACGATGCTCTCTTCCCCCTGGCTCATCAGGGCCAACCGCTGGCTGAGCTTCTGCAACACCTGGTTCAGGGTTTTCCAGTACGCCTGCAGGGAGGAGAGGAGAGGAAAGGAGAGGAGAGGCTGTCAGTAGCTGCGTTTACATGGGCACAAATAATTGGAATAAATGCCCAATCGGGATCAAAATGCGTCATATAAACATGTCGATCGGAAGATTTTGGCCCAATTCGGCTCAAACGGAAAGATTTTATTATTATTATTATTATTATTATTTTTATTGCGATCGAGAGGGATGGTTTATGCCGATCATTATTCCGAAACACATCCATGTAAACACTTATCCCGATCATGACTCTCTTACCTGACTCGATCTTCACTCTTTATTTATTAAGGCCAGTACAGGAGGTCTCATTATTAAAGACTTTAGCAAAATCAGACAACTCTGGGCATGTCCAAATAATCTGAAAAAAGTTAAATGCATGTATACTCACGTCACGATTGTATTATCTGATTTTGTACCCATATAAACAGTGGACTCAGATTATCCGATCCCTTAAATTTTTAATCGGATCAAGAAATTTTGCACATGTAAGCATGGCTAATAATGAAACTGACAATGTTGTATCATACGGTACCTGATCCAATCTTATCACCAAAATTGAATCGTATCTTATTGTATCATATATGACCTCGTTGTGTCGTTTCTGAACAAGCTTGAGTTTATCTGAGTGTTGCTTTGTGCTGTGTATGCACTTTTGTAACTCATACCACCTCTTATCGCTGTGTGACTTTAATCCTTGTAACTTCAAAGCTTTTAAAATAAAGACTTGGCATTAATTGATACTATTTGAAAAGATATGAAGGAGTCTTTTCGAGGTTTTCTTCGAACAGCAGCAGGGTTGTGCTTTGTGTTGTGTCCAGGAATGTGAGCTTCCCTGCAGATGACTGGTCACAGAGGCCGATAGGTCACTCTGCCTCACAAATGACCTGGAGCTACAGCTCACACATGTATGCATGCACACAAATGCACACACTCACTGTGGACAGCAGTCTGTAAATAGCAGCACATTTATCACTGCCTGCCACCTTCCCTCCTCTCTGTCCTCTTTTCACCCCCTTCCATTCTTCCTCAACTTCATCAGCCTCCTCCTCCTCCTCCTCCTCTGCTCTTGCTGCCCCTGCATCCCATCCCCCCCTCCTGTTTTCTCCATCCATCTCTCCCCTCCTCTGTTTCCCCCTGGAGGCTGCAGATAGAGCCACTCCTCTAACATCCTTGCTTCCTTCCTCCTCTCCTCTTCTGTAATGTAAGATTGTGTAACGCAGAGCTGTGGCTACTCACCCTGCACTGACACTCTGACTCCTTCCATCACCCTGCTACACTGCTAGTGGTGATAATTGCATTTGGTTCCCCATCGGAGCATTTCCTACTGCAGATACACAGCGAGTCACGGCAGCTTAAACAGGCTGTGGTGGTAAAATCTACGCTACTGATCAAAATCGTCGCACAAGCCATCACAAATTCTTATCCTCTGGGGATTTTATGACTGTCCTTCATTTTAAAGAAGAAACAGCATCTCTTTAAAAGTGAGAAATAAATTGTGTCCTTGGTGGAGATGGCTGGACTGCTAACACGGTGCACTGTCAACCTCGTACCTCATCACAGGGAGCTATTCTGTGGATGATGTCCTTAAGCTGTCCGACCATCTTCTCATCCCTGAAGTCTGAGGGGAATGTCTCCGTCCACTCTGTCAGCAGCTGCAGGATCTTGGGACCAAACTTGCGCACTTTTGCCTGTTATCAAAGGGATGAAAGAGGTCACGTTTGGTCTACATTTTTGGCTACACCAGGCAAAAATGTTGGCAAAAAGAGGGCGGTGTTTCAAAATATTCAGCAGATGCACAAAGTGTGTCTATAATCATTTTGCTGTGCCTGCGTGTCACTTCATTTGCTCGTGCCTTTTCATACAGGAGTGGTGTTTTTGTGTTAAATGCGGCACTCACCGTATCAAGTGGGCTCTGATCCAGCTGCTGCTGTTTGATGCACTGCTCACACACCTTGGCCAGCAGCTCAGGAGGAGGGATGAACAGACGAGCGCACAGCAAGAAGGTAAACACATAGGCTTTCTGTCAAAGAACAGAGGGAAATGTTTGCTCAGACTCTGCCACTACATCAATAACAAACACTGAGGCTTCCTGTAATTAAAGAGAGGTGATGAATTCACTGGCAGATCCACACTTTCACTTCAATGAACCCTCTGAATTAGTCTGTAATGTTTAAATGTCATCCCTTTTACCTCTGGGTAGTAATCTGCAGTGGGGACCAAGTTCTGGATCAGGGTGTCCAGGGAGGCGGAGGTTATCGGGGGCCCATCAGCCAGGCAGGCCCCTGGTTCCGTGCCCTCTTGTGGGGCCTCCTCCTCCTCCCCAGGCTCAGCACAGGCCAGATGGGGGCTGAAACCACTGGGAGTGGTGAACATGGTGCCTGAGCACACAGTCTGGGGCATTCCTCTCTAAAAGGCAGACAGACAGAAAAACGACGAGTCAGCAGAAAATAGAGAGAATGAGGAAGAGCTGCACGGTTTGGTTTCAGGAATATGAACGTCACATACAGCACTTGTAGAAGTGAAATTGATTGGCTGAGAAAAAAGTAAACAAATAAAAAAAACAGAGCAGACTTCAGTCCCAGCTCACTCACTTCTTGTAAGTCGTGGTTAGAGGGAAATGACACGGAAACCCCACAAAGTAAAATTTCACATTCAAATGGGAATTTCTGCTCAGACATTCCGCATTTAGTGATGTCTTTATTTTGTGAAACCAATTCCTGTTTCTTTTAAACTCACAGCATTACATTTATGATACTCCGTACAAATAGTTCCTTATTTAAAAGGAGAGAGAGTCTGTAAATGTGTATAAAACATACTAGGACAGTGAGGAACTCTATGTGTGTCAGGCCCTGAAACCCTTTAGGTATCTAATGTTTGATCTTTAAAAACCTACTACAAAATAGAGTAGTTTATTGTTTACTTTACCATTTTTATTCATTGGCTTTTAACCCTGCATGAGACTCGGCTCCTGTTTTAGTGTTTTATGGTTTGTTTTTAGTTATTTGTTTTCTAATGTTTGATCTTTAAAAACCTACTACAAAATAGAGTAGTTTATTGTTTACTTTTATGTTAAACATGTTTGTTGTATTTTTTTTGACCTTACAAATGGAGTTTCTTGACCATGAGAGAATTTTAGAGACATGTTTCAGTTATTTCCTGTATTTCTTAGCTGTGTTTCAGGATTGTTTTTGCTGTCTATTTCATCTGGATGGGTTTATTTTGTGTGCATAACACAATAGATATCTTCAGACTTACTTCGGCATCATTCTGTTTTGCAAACTCTTACAGCAGTGAATCAACAAAGCCATGTATGAACTAGTTTGTTCAACTTTTTGTGGTGTGTATAACCTCCTTTTTGCTTTCTTTCAACTAGAAACTCGCTCGTTTCATCTAACTGATGACCCACTCATCATCGGGGGTACAGAGCACCCCCTTTACTGCTGCCCTACTCGCCCACCACAACATGACAGAGGAGAGAGAGAAAATATGGGTCACTCAGTCGCCGTGGAGACAGTTGTTGCCTGAAAGCGATCGCACTTTGGGTTACACACTTTAAAAATTCAACATGCTTCATCCCTCAGCGGTCGCACACAGCAGCTGTAGGTAGGAGTCCCTTACTGTACTGTGCACTAGAGTGGTGATACTACAGATACAGAGTGTGATGATCCTCAGGGTGCAATTATCATCACTTTAAATTCACATATCAAAGAACAGCCAAGGCACGATTAGATACAGATTATCAATAAAAGAGAAATCGGTTCTGAATTTGATGTAGGTGACATAAAACAGACTGCTGTAGTCCTGCTCTCTCTGGATGAACCAGGTTGCACCCATCTGAATCTCTCATCAGCACCAGAAAAGCGTGCAGACTCTCTGTGTGCCTACAGACTTGTACAGCGACACAAAGCCTTGTCGCTTGCAGAAGTCACGAGAAAAGGTGCCAAAATTACTTGCCGACAGCGAGACCTCATGCAACTCACAGGAACAGTTTTCACATATAAACGCGCCATCTTCCTCCTATTGTTTCCAACACAATCTGTGCTCTTACTGTGCACATTAAAAACTCACAAAAAAATAATGGTGTGAAAAAAAGTAATAAAAAAAAGCACCATGTCAGCGATCAGTCTAAACCACCAGAGGAAAACTAAGAACCTTCCGGCAGTGGTTTCATCCTCTGTTGACCTTCAGGTTCCCCTCCCCCACTGGCCTATCAGCCACCTCCATAAACCATCCCGAGTGTCCCTGGGGTGAAAGGTCAAGCTCACACTGGGGTAAAGCACAGCAGCTCATGTCTCAAGTTACCTACTCAGCCGTCCTTTGTTCTCCATGGCCTCTACCGCATGACACATCCTGGTACAATTGCACACACACGCACAAAGTCACACAAATGACAAACTTCCTTCCTAATTCTCATGCTACGAGCCCCTTAAACTGAATCTCTCATCAGTTATATTGTGATTGAAAAGGGTCGACTTATTGTGTCTAATCGGAGTTGTAATTGCAGCTCCTTCAAACTCCAAAAGAAGTGCAGAGAAAAAAAAGAGGTGCAACGGACCAGGAAGATGATTTTCAGGACATCCGCAAGAACCACATCAAGATCAAGATAAATCTCAAGACTGTCACTTTCTCATGCGTTCACGTACATTAAAAATGATTGCTGCTGCTCACCAGTGTAAAAGCAGTGCGCATAAGGAATCTATGTTACGTAGCAAACTTCAAAATCCCTTTATGACTCATTCAGACCATCTTTCAGTAAAGGTGGTCTTCACTGCATAGATTAGTCACTGTGTAGATTCCAAAAGGGGCAAGCCCTGAGCGTCCTTGCAGCAACCTCCTGCAGCCACTATAAGAAGTGACCCCATAAACACAAAAAGCAACAACATAGATGCAATATAAAAGCTTTTTGGCATCTTCCTCCATGATATAACAGACAGGAAGACAAAGTTTGCTCAGCTCTAAGAGACTAAATCCAAGAATTTATGAGTCATCTCATGCATACAAACACACACACATACACACGCGTCTGCTGGAGTATTTGTATTTATATATGTATGGGAGTGACTGAGGGTTTTATACTACGTGCTCGCACTAGCAATGACTTCCTCTATCATTTGCGATAATCTTCACTTGCCTTATTTCTCCTGGTTGCTTCCTCCTCGGCTCTCCTGCTCTTGCCCTCTGGCATTTCTGCAGCTCTGATTCATCATTTCATCACAGCTCTCTGCGTCTGTGTCAGTCGATACCTCACTGTCCGCAGCATGTGAGCAGATGTCAGTCAGGTTTACTCCTCTACAGACATACAGTGTGTGTCTTATGACAGATCAGTCATCAGTGTTTGTATGTGGAATACTCAGCCATGTCCATGCCGTGCCAGGAATGTGATAACAGGGAATGCGTTGATGTGTCTGCAAGTAGGCCTACTCATCCTAGTACTCATGATGCAGAAGAGTAAACAGTCTCATCAAATGTCCCATTTGCAGGAAAAAAAAGAGCTTTCAATATTCGGGGTGGGAGAAGAAATCGATACAGCATAGTATTGGGATATTTTGTCTGGTGAATATATTGTAGCGTCTCATCTACCAAGTATTGATTTTTCAAATTAATTGCTAATATGAAGTCAATCTATGATAATGGAAAAAAAAAAATTAACTGTTTGTCCAGTGAGGTTGGCAGAGTTAACATCATAGAGCAGGAGAAAGTTAGTGCAACAAATATAAATATAAGGTTTGCAAGAAGTGCTACATGTAAATAAAATACAGCATAAATAAGACAAACATGACGGAAAGACAAATGCTAAATTACCTAAACAGTTGAAAAAAATTGTATGAATCGCAATGTATGGTATCACAATACTCACTTTATTGCAAAATGTTAAAAATCACAATAATATCATATCGTGGCCAAAGTATTGTGATAATATCATGTCATGGGGCTGCTAGTGATTCCCACCCCTACCAAATAAATGCCATCATTAGCATGTAAGGTTTTTGTGAAAAACATGTATTAGTAGATTTACAGCGTATTTAGTTTGTCCCAGACCTAGAGTAAAATAACTTAATATTGAAAAGTTGTATCACGTTTTTTGTTGCTCCAGAGAATGATGCAAAAATGTAGATGAACTGCCTGAAGCAATGTCAACATTCTTGTATGGTTAAGTTTTCAGTAAGTAGTAAAGTTTCCAGACCTTGGATGCTCCCTCCTCGTATCTGCTTGAGGCGAGAAACTCCTGGCTACATTAGCCACTAGCATAACACATCCCACTCTCCAACTGTACTGTCAGTGTTGCCTTTGGGTCTATGTAGACCCTGAGTGATTGTAACAACTAAAAACATGCCTGAATTATAAAAGCCTGTGAGTGCAGTACTCAATCAGTGGAGTTATCTTTCCCGTAAATGCCATTAAGTGATCCCATTAGTTAGTCCAGGTCAAGAGCAGGTACAAGGTTAACAAACTAACTCCCTCATGCCAGTCACTTGACAGTATCAAGTGCCTAGCAAACATATTCAACTAGTTATATCCAACAAAAAGCATATTAAAGTAAGCATCAATAAACATCATTTCTAAATTTTGTAAAGTCTCAATGGAAGTGATAATAATATGAAAAATGTTGTTGTCTAGGTCCTTTAAATAACACCCCTGTCTGCAATTCACACCAAGCACAGGTCCTCAAAATAACTCCAGAGGATAAAGTTGGTCATTTTTCCTTCCATTGTGATCTGGAATATTTTTCACATGTCAAAAAAAAAAAGTCCCATGTCTGGAAAATGCAAACAATTCAAGACAGCTGCTCATAAGAAAATATCTTTTCTCTCTTATAACTACTCCTACTCTTAAGACCTTTGCTGACACTGTTTTTTTTTTCTTACAAGGTGACAAAAAAGTCATCCACAGCCGTACTCCTTGTCTTACTTGTTTGCATACCTCATGATACACCCAGCTCCCTCTGCGCCTGTCACATTGCATCAACACTGTGTGAAAAAGCGCATTGAGAAACAAGCAGCTAAGAACAGGTGAGTGTAGTGGTCTGTGCTCTAATCCCCCCTGAGATCTCCAGCAGCTCGCCAACGGCAGCCCTGCACTCTGTCTAGACAGCTGGGGGAGTGTCATTGTTCGGGGCTTTTTAAGCGTGTGTGTGTGTGTGTGTGTGTTGTATTGTGAGTCTGTCAGGCTGTTATCGTTGCCATCAGGGGATCTGCCTGCTTTGTTCTATCATGATTAACAGAATGGCACTCTGTCTGGAGACACACAATCTTTATCAGCACCCTTGACTGTCTTGCCATGTGTGTGTGTATGCATGGCGGGTGTATGAATGAAACAATGACATTCCTGATGCGTCGGAGCAGCTTTAAGCCGTCAAACTGCTCCATAACTGTGCTAATCTCTGTATTCTTGCAGCCATTTCTACCTGTGTGGAACCTGTTTAGCCACATAAATAGTATAACACACCTACAGGAGTGTGTTTGTGTCACTGAGATGGGTGCTGATGAATCTTCTCCAATACCCAAAAAAGTTAATGGATGAAGACAATCAGCTTTGAGAACTGCTCTCCATTAAGAAATGAGGCTTATGGGGGGCTAAACAGGCTATTGACTTCGATGAGTAAGAGTTCAAAGGTCAAAGGTGAAGAGTTGATGCTGCGTTTGAGTTACCGGGGAAGTCAGAAGTCAGAGCTGGAAATGACATCACCCATGAGTTACCAGCATAAGTCGGAAGAGAGCAAAATCGGAGGTGAGAACAAGATGGCTACATCTATGAAAGTTATATTAGCGCTTGGCTTGTCTGAATATTAGCAAGGACAAGGCAAGCGGTAAAATAACTTTCGTAGATGTAGCCATCTTGTTTCCGCCTCAGATTGTGCTTTTTTCCGACTTAGTGACTGAAACGCTGGTAACTCGGGTGTGGCGTCATTCCCAGCTCCGACGTTTGACATCTGAGGTAACTTGAACGCGGCATTAGGCTTCTGTAGGGATCTTTGCCGTAGCACTGCTATGGAGCTTGGCTTGGTTTCAAGGCGAATTAAGCTTTATCTGCTGACAGGGACTTGATGAAAAAGTCCTCCATACAGAGACTGGACTGTATAATATCCATTACAGCTGTCACTATTGACTTTGATTCATTGGTGCGGCTCAACACATCTATTCATCATCACCCCAATGGAAGTAAAGGGTAATGAACTTTCTGCAGATGCATATTTAATTTGTATATTTTTTGTAGCAGCAGAAATAGTTTTCATCCCTCCTTTAAGATGCCAAAACCGAGTAAAACAGATTTTAAGCTCAATTTTTGTTCTAATTACTAGTCCCTGATAATTTAGCTTTCACCAGGAGGTCACTCTTCCTCAAGCCCAAAGTCCTAGACAGCATTTTAAAGAGTTGTGTTGAAGAGGCTCCTTAAACGATCATTAGAGCTACTATTAAGATTGATCTCCATTAGCCGCAGTGTTTCACAAGGAATACAATGTGATCAATTCAAATTTGATTTCAATATTTGTTGTGTTGTTTTATATTCAAATCTTTGTTGCATTAACAGAAAGCACAAAGTGCACAAATACGGAGAACACCACACAGCAAGTGTGAAACCAAGACCTGATGCAGTGCTATTCTTAGAGGAGCAGCACACTGTCAGAGGCAGGCACAGCAAATATCCGGTATGGGTATTGCAGCAACACTTTGTTTGTGTCTGTAGTTGCTTCCTGGTGTCAGAGATCACAGTTAAAGAGAGGTTAAAAAAAAGACGGGATGGGATGAGTAAAGGACCGAGGTGGGCTTTGGAGGGGAGTTAGAGGCTGATATTCCCTCCAGGGTAGAAAGAGGACGAGAGGTTCTATGAATGTTGAAGTCCCTCTCTACCAAACACACCAAACTCTCCTTTTCTTCTCCATCTTTTTTTTTTAATGATGCCTCCTTTTTCATGCTCCAACACTTCCTCTCTAATTAAGATTCACATGTCGCTCCTTCAACACATCAACACATCACACTTTCCACACTCCATCTATTTTCAGACTGTGCTGTAAAAAAGTAGATCCTCGCATATTTTTGGTCCTCCTGACACCGTTTTGTGGGCCTCAGAGTATTGCGGCCGTGGCCTAAATCTTCCAAAGTGTTCTTTGAAAGCTGAAATGATGCGACTCCAGAAGGTAAACACCTCTTTGTCATCCAGCCTCTCATTCCCACCTCCTCCCTAAGTGTCCCCTCTATTCCTTCCCCTCCTCCTGTGCCTCCTTCTCCACGCCCTATTTTTCTAGTCAGGACGCCTGTACAGATGGCCTTGCAGCAGCCTGCTCTCCCAGTGGGAGCTGCTGGCATGGGAGGCTTCTTGGCCCTCTGCCCCTGCCATCATCCCCAGCCACAACAGGAGCCCAAATGTGTATTGGCGTCCAGAGTGGATGCCAAGGTCCAGGGGCCAAGCCAATCTGGCTGCTGAGCTACACAGCGACTGCTTGGCACCGAAGACAACGGAGAGACAGCGCAAAATACCACACATATGTCACCGCACACAATGAATTCAAACCGGTGCTCTACTGCTGGTTAATGTGGAGAGTGTGTGTTAAGGGAGGAGTGCAGCTGAAAACAAATGAGTTCATTGTGTCTTGAAAGGAACACTTGCATGCACACTTGCACCCACACAGCAGCCAAACACAGGATTGAGTTACTGTCAAGGCATTCCTGCTCCCCACCCATTCCCCAGCCTCTCTCCCTCTCTCTGTGGTATGAGACAACAGAGGATGGGAATCTAACTCACACCTTAACAGGGGCACACTTCCCAAATCCCTTTTTATTGGAATCCCCCTGTACCGTGTAAGTGGGGTTACACAGACATCCTGGCACCTGTTACACTCCCACCGGCTCCATCATTCCCAGCTTGAAGATCACTGGGGATTCTCCTCTGTGAACACACCCCTGTGTGCATGTGTGTAGGCATCCTCATTCCTGAGCGAGTTTGGACACAGTTGCGTGCATGCATGTGTTTGGGTTTCTGCTGTGTGTAAGTGTGCAAAAGGGCTGAGGGAGTCAAAGTGTATCAGAGTCCAAGTGAAGTCATAACTTCTCTGTGAGCGCAAACGTCTGTCCTGCCGTTGTCCAAGAGGTGCGGCTGTGCTGCAGTGTTTTCTTACATCTCCAAAAAAAAACAGAGCAAAGATGATGTTGCAATCTGCATATTTTAACCCCTGAAATCCAACTATTATCAATCACTGCACGGCAGCATAAGCCTGAGGGTAAGTCTTTGCATATGAGACCGGCTCTAGAGGTTGAGCACCATGATTCACTGAAGCCTGTTTCAAACCACTTCACATGTGTGAAAAATACAGTTATGAATCTATTCCCCTTGTTCAAAGAGGATAAAAATTGGCCTTGAATATGATTTGAAGGGTCTGTGTCATGTGATGTGTCTGGGTTATCTACCATGTCGCTGAGAGATAATTGGGGCTGAGCACAGACTGGATGTTAGTGGGCACACATCAACGTGTCAAAGCGTTTAGTGCCCTAAATCTGCCATTCGTGACGGTCATAATGCTTTAAAAAACACTCATGTATTCATTATATGCCTATTTACAACCCTTCTGAATGCAGTGATCTTCTGAGGGGTGATTTTCGTCTTTTAACAGGCATAATTTTGCCTCAAGTGGCTCTTAGGAGAAATTAGCAACCCCCCAAGTGAATGGAAGAAAATGGGAAGGAAGAACAGAGCGGAGTGGTTAAGAGCACGCTGACAGAAAAGCTGTATGAAACAATGCTTACGTGCAGCTACCTCAATTGTCTTTTACGCCAGTATACTTTCTTTTAACACAAATCTGTTCATCTACTTGCCCTCTCAGCATTGTGTTACGTTTAATCAGACCTGCACAATAACTGTGACAAAACAACAAGCCAGACTAGAACAGATACAAATCTAATATCCAGACGTTACTAATTTCATCAAGGTCGCTTCCTCTCCTATTAGAGTACATCTATCTGCTCATTAAGACCGGCACAGGCAGAGGCCGTGCAGTATGTCACTGCTGATGAACAATGTCAAAGCTGGTTAATTTGTGTTGAGAAATGACAGAGAGGAGTGTGTTCACAACTCAGGCCTTGTGTATTTTGGTGTGATTGGAAAGAAAGGTCAAACTGAAGGCTACATCAACAGATTTCAGACATCTCATATTTATGCAGATAATGCCGACAGACTCTCAAGTAAACACAGAACAAAGTGTACTTCCTGTGCAGGCCACGCAACTAACCACAAAAGTCTGCCTTTAGGTTTCTTTATACAGCTAAAATACAAAACAGTTAGCAGCACTTTTACAAGGACACTGTTCTTCCTATCTACCTAGCTACAGATGGAATCAACATTAAACTTAACATGAGCCTGTATAACCATCTTAAAAAGTAAGAAAGCTTGGTAATAGCTAAAAAAATCTAATGTATTTTTTTGTACGTTTTAAGCTTTTTGTGCGTGAGAAGTAGGGGTGGGAGAAAAAAATCGACACAGCATAGTATCGCAATATTCTGTCTGGTGATATATTGTATCGTCTCATTTACCAAGTATCGTTTTTTCAAATTAATTGCTAATATGAAGTCAAATCGATGATAGTGGAAAAATCAACTTTTTGTCCAGTGAGGTTGGCAGAAGTGACATCATAGAGCAGGAAAAAGTGAGTACAACAAATAAGGTTTGCAAGATGTTCTACATGTAAATAAAATACAGCGTAAATAAACATAAAGGAAAGCCAAATGTAAAATTTGCTAAACAGTTGAAAAAAATTGTATAAATTGTAATATATTGTATCGCAATACTCACTCACTGTATTGCAAAATGTTAAAAAGCACGATAATATCGTATCATGGCCCAAGTATCGTGATAATATCATATTGTGGGGCAGCTAGTGATTCCCACCCCTAGTGTGAAGATATATGGAGAATTCCAGCTGTTTAAACCAAGAAAATATGGTTGTTTATTTATCATCCCAAACCTAACTGTCAATGTCCTAATGTCTAACAAGCTTTAAAGATAAAACCATGGGTCTTCACTTTTTACTACCACAAATTCTCTGATATTCTTTAGTCTTCCTGTTAGTCATAGGACCTGTAAATTCTTTCAGCTTTTCTTCACACACTGTTTAACCGCAGGACAAGAATATGTAGGACATATCAAGCGATGAAACCCCATGTGGTTTGCAGAGCATGTTCAAAGCAAGAACCAACTTGATGAAATCGTTGCTCTTTGATGATATCATTCATTACTCCGTAGCTCTAAAAGGCTGGATTCAATTCTAAACATGCACAAATCACCTGGAAGCAGATTTTACAAAACCCCCACAACTGTCTGTTCAAAGAATAGAGAAGAGGGAGAGTAAATCTGGACAAGAATCCAATGAGTGACACTTTAAAATACTTGTTTTTTTAAATAATACTGGAAGCTGATAAAAAAGAAATATTGTGGTTCAATACAAAGTCCAAAGAACAATGTGCTGTTCTCTGATACATTTAAAGTTAAATGGGAACTTTTTGTGTAGTTTCACACATATACCTGACGACTCTTTAATGCAAGAGTTCCACAGCCTGATGACTCACAAAAATATCAAATCTGAAACCTGATATCTGTAAGAGAATCAGAAAGTTTCATTGCATGGAGACAATGTCTGATGAAGTATTCAACATTTTTACTCAAGTGGTTTGTTGTAGACACCAGGGATCTAATCATATTCCATTGCTTTTCTGACCCTGGCTGATCCATAAAGACTGACTGTCAATAACTGCCTGAATGACAGCGTGCAGACCATGCGAAGGCTGCTCAAATCAGCTTTGCACAGCTCACAGTGTTTCCATGGAGTCAAGGCTCCTGTTGGGAGATAATTAGATGCCTGTTGAATCCCCACAGTAACACCCCCTCTTCTCTCTTTTATTCCATCAAAATCCCTTGTTTCCCTCTCTCTCTTTCTCCCTCTGCTGACAGAGCAGCCGGCTGTGACGGAGTGATTCCACATTTGAACCCTGTCTGCCTCGGTCCGTCAGTGAGATCGCTCTCATCATCCCTGTGTCAGTGGCAAAGCTGCAGAGTAGCCGAGGGACATCCGTAGGCCTGTCAGGTACACAGACCGTCACCATGTTCTGTCCCTTTTTTCAATCCAGCTCCTCCTGTCTGGGCTGAGGTTGAAACTCAACAATCGAGTGGAACTGGGGAAATCTTGGGTAGTAGTTTCGGGAATTTCCCCATTTGTTGACATCACAGGGATAGAAAAGAAATGAAGTATAAAAAGAAAAGAAAGGCTCTTACTGTTGACTATTATCTTTTGCTATTTATAGTTGGCTTAATTTGATCTTGATGTCATTTTCAGAAGATGCTTTCCATCGCACATTCACCCAACACAGGAAGCGATCACTGGAAGAACATACAAGACGTTTTTCTAAAAGCTGCATTGTGTGTTTGACACTCAGAATCTGGAATCCCTTGTGCACATGCTGAGGAAGTGTATTCTCTTTACCGCAGGCTGTGGTTAAATTCTGTCATTTCTGTAGAGCGGAGAGTGTGATCCATGACACACACACACAAACACACTCTTATCTACACACAAACCCCTTCCCCCATGTACACACACACAGCCATAAACTTTGGGGTGGTGATAAAGCTGTCATTGCCACCAGACTAACAGCTCCTGTGTTTACCTCCCTGTTGATCTGCCCCAGACAGACCCTGCACCCACTCTTCCCCTCCCTTTCTTCTCTCTATCTCTCCTCAAACACCCCCTCACAATGACTGTGGCCCCACTCTCTGGGAACTCGCCTCTCTCAGTCTCACGTCACACCAAACGCTGCCCTCATTAACAACACACCTGTTATTCTCTGCAGACTTGGCCTGAATTGGAGGGAACATGTGCTGTAGACTGTGTCTGTACCTGCAGACTTCTGACAGACCCTTACACTGGTGACTCACGCTTGTACAACCATCTATCCACCGCACTGTTGTAGTGAGCACTGCAATTCAAAAGCTATTCCTTTGCCGAGGGCAGCAAAGCTTCATAAGCAGAGCACAGAAGAGCTTACGGAGAGGTGGAGCAAAGCTGTGCACAGATCACCAGAGGACAGAGTCAAAGGGTAAAAATGACAATACAGATCATTCAGCTTTATCTTTTCCAAACCGAAAAGAATTCAACAATTGATTTGCAGCGTTTTGTCCTGCCACAAAGAAACCTCTTCTGCAGCAAACACAAAATGTGTTTGTTTTTCCCCCCTCAGGGCACGCAAAAGCACACACTGCCAGTCAAGGTGAGAGTAAGCAAATATACACATCCAAGGGTTGCATTTGAAACAGGCAGAAGAGATAAATAAACACAAACAAAGCAGGGCATGTGTGAAGGCAGAGGCTGCAAAGCTGCCTCTCGGTGCTCCATGCTGAGAGAGAGCGCAGTCACGAAACGTGATTCCCCCTCCTGTGCTTCACTCCTTGGGGGCTGGGAAGTGCAGCGGTGGCTGCTCGAGGGGTGGAGGACACCAGAGCTCAGGGCGTGGGAGCAAGAATCAGGAGGAGAAGCAGCTTTACTGGTAATACAACAACCTCAGCTAGAATTTCTCCCCGACCGAACTGGTTTCTGATGAAGCCGGTGTTACTTTCATATAGCTACCTCGCAATAAGTTGCAAGAAACAAATTACAAATCTTTTGGTTTGTGTGAGGGAGCCATAGGTGTAAAGGCTGCTCACCACCTCTGGGATGTTTTCATGGAGGCAGTTCTCATTCCAATGAAAATAAATTGTCAACAGGGCCACACCTGTTCATTCTGTGGTATCTCTGAGGGAGAATAACAAACACTCCTCACTCAGATTTACATACACTGATGTAGAGACAGTGTTTGAGGAAATCAGAAGTGAGCTTTTAACTTCCACGTTAATAATTACACAAACGAGATAGGTTTGGCACTGTGTGTAGACACTAGTAAACCAAACAACAAGAGGGGATTTTTCTGCATTATCAGTGGTTAGTCTTTCTTTTGAAACGCTCTAGCCATCGACTTTGACACCGTCACCTACTCACACTGCCTGTATGTTCTGCTGTGAATGTGTCAGAGAGTCCAGCTCCCTAAAAGAGCTGAATCCCCTCACACGCCCTTTAAACAGCCTGGACACCGCTGACTCACTCCTCCTCACACTCTGATGCCTCCATCGTAGTAAAGTGATGCAAGCAGCTCCAGAAGCCCCGACACCAGGAGACATCATGATGCCATCACTGTTGATAGTAAAGTTGGATATGTGGCGACACCATGATCTGCTCACAGCTGATTGAACATTATTGATCATGGCTGCTGACATATAATACACACTCACGCGGTCACGCGCGAGCACGCGCACAAGCTGTGGGCGTGAGTAAAATCTCAATATGCAAATTTTAGTCGTAGTGGGGTAACCTTGCTACTCACCGGCACTACACTTTGATCCCCATCTTTGATCCGGCTTGTATCCAATGTCAAATCGATAAAAGTGTCGCTCCAGGTATTCCCAAATTAATGAACGTTTAAATCAAAACCTCTTCAACTGACAACAGTGGGTGAAGTGGAGCCGGACTCCTCAGAGGCTCACTCTGACTGTGGAAGCGCAGACAATGTCTGTGGATACTAGGAGCTTGTTAAACGTCCGGGCTCCGGACAGGTTTCCTCTGGTGAAAAAGCGGACACAGGCAGACAGCTAAGCTCGAGATAAAACACGTCCCTGAAGGCGTGGCGACTGTCCTGTCCTGCGCCACGGAGATACGGGGGGACCACACAGCACATCCACACGTCCTCGGAGCAAGTGCTTGGACGGAGGAGAGGAGAGGTAACAAGCCTACTCACGCAGCAGTCAAGCGAGTAGAAACATGAAACTTCCGCTTTCGATTAACAAAATAAGACGAATGAGTTTCGCCAGATGGTGAATATTCTACATTGACGGTTTTTTGAATAAAGTGCATTTTTCTTCAACAACACCGCACATGTGACATTCACAAGTCACGTTTTACTTCGGAAAAAGAAAAAAAAAGCAAGTTAATAGTGTAGTTTGAACGTTTATCTGTCTTTCTTGTCCGGAACACTCTTGTAAATGAGATTACTGGTCACAATGAGGTTTTCCTAATTAGATAAAAGTAAAATTAATTGATAAACCCAAAAGTAAAAGTGGCGCCACGACAGAATTTGTAGTGTTTGTTTCATTCAAAATGGCCGATGTTTTACTAGATCTAAGAAATTCTTATGTTGCGTTCCCGTTACCTCGGACGTCGGATGTCAGAGCTGGGAATTACGATACACCCGAGTTGACAGCAGTTAACAATTCAGAAAACCAAGATGGACGCCTACGCTTACCCGTTGTAAGCTGTTGTTTTCAATTGTCAGCTGTTGTTAGCCATTGTCGGCAGTTGTTAGTTGTTGTTAGCGACATCAGTTGTAAACAACCACAGTATTTTACTCTACGAACACAATAGCGCCGTGTTCACAGTTAGACGTTGGGCAGTACAACATAAACCATTTCTTCAATTTCACAAAATCTAAACAGAATTGCTTATAAATAATACATTTCGAGAACTTTTGCTGTTAGTATTTACAGTTGATGCACTCCTCTGCCAACTTGAATTATGACGTTATCGTCAAGTCGGGCTTGGCGAGGATCGTCAGACTTTCCGAGTCGGAAATCCGACTTCAGAGGGGGGGCGTTCCAGATGAATTTCCGACTCGGAGCTCGGAAATCCCGACTTCCGAGTAGCCTACAACTGGAACGCATCATTAAATCACTTTGAGGCCTGAATGTCCCAGAGGATTTGGGTTGCACTTCATTCCATGTCTTTTCCGTCAGAACTCTACTTAACTGGTGGTTAGTAACCTTAATGTCGTATTTCTTTTATTTTGAAGGGGACATGATTTCCGGTAGCCGTGACTTAGTGCTGTTGTGAACAAGCAGCAGATCTCTCTCTCTCTCTCTCTCTCTCTCTCTCTCTCTCTCTCTCTCTCTCTCTCTCATTACACACACACTCGCACACACACACACATACGCTAGACCAAAATCTCTGAGGCATTAGGCACTCTCTCTTGTTTCACAGGAGTTTAGATTACATCCTTGTTTTACCTGACTGAACTGGTTTAAAACAACCAAAGAGATATAGTGTGCTTTGTTTAACTTCATATTTACATTTTAAATGACCTTAAAGCACAAAATGTCAGTCACTAGGCTGTAGAAGTGCAAATAGTTTGATCTCTGAAAGGCCTTTGAATCCAGCTATGGCCATGCTAATTTCAAAGCCAATGCAAGAAACATAACAGGAATACTAATTCATTACTAAAAACGGTTCAGTGGTCCACCATGAATCGTTCCATTATTCTCAAGCTTATCAAGTCTCTCTATACTCCAAATGTTATTCAAACAGACATGAGAAGATAAGAAAGACGAACAGACACTCTTCTCATTTGTAATCCACCACCAAACCCTCTTCCATGCCGAGTGACACTCCCTTAGCATCACCCCTGAACGAAGAGGCCATCTCTTAATATGCAAATGAAACTATGACATTCAAAGCCAAGCTGTATTTCCATTAAGCTGCAGTTAATTATACCATCAGACTAATTTTAAAACAGCAATGAAGGACTGTCCAATACATCCCTACAGAGTGCAATGAGAAGCAGCAGTGATTGGTTGAGGGAGCGTGATGTTTCATGGTTGTACAGCTGCTGTCACCGTGTCTCCTGAAAGGTTGAGATGTAAGTTATTGCAGAGGGATAATTAATTTGAGGAGAGGTGTTGCATAGAAAGACAAGCAGGGGTTGACAGAGGGGGGAAATAAATATGTGGGTGAGGGGAGCAGCAGTAAAGGTCTTTGTTGGGCCATGAGGGGTGGTGTGTGAGCCGCTGTCCCCGGAGTTTTAAAGCCCATCGCTGGGCCCTCTGGATCAGGGGAAGGATGGATCTGACATTGCAGTAGAAGACAGAGATAAAGCACTCACTCCCTCCTTAAGGAGGTGCAGTGGGTTCTACCACAGTGAGGGGTGAGTCAACAGACATGTTTGCCTTTTATTCCTCTGATCTTAAACATTTGCCCGACTATACCTGCACTATAAGTTAATTTCAATAACCTTTGTTCCCCTAATCTTCACCAGGCATGCAGAAATTTTGCAGACAGGGAAAAGTTTGCGAATTTTGGGCATTTGATGCTCTGCAGACTCATCTTATGTCTGGTGATAGAACTGCAAGTACCAGTAAGACCCCGGGACTGGATGTAAACAGCCTGGATATATATATAGCTCACATATATACACCACTCTATCTGGAGGCAAGAGCAGACACATGAAATGTCAGTAAAAATCTCTCACTTTGGAGAAGAAAACTATGTGTGCGTGCTCTCAGTAACAACAATTTTAGCATGCCAAAGTTAAACCTAGATACTGATTTGTAAACCACAGCAGCGCAATATTGACTTTTTGTCTCCTAAGACAAACTATTTATTGTTCATGTTAATTTTCTGGCTCTTTTTATTTTGTTTTTAATTTTACTGTACAGCACTTTGTTCAGTGCTTTGTTGTTTTTTAAATGTGCTATATAAATAAATCTGGATTGGATTGGATAAGGAAGTTCGGCTAACCCTAAGATTAAGTTACTAGTCGAATTTTACAACATTTTATAGATTTGATACTCAAGCAACTAAACTTTGGTCAAGGATCTCAGATGGTACCTTGGATGTTCTGGTGGTGTGAAGGGGTTTACAGATCCAGACCATAGACTGTATAGTGTCTGCCTCCTCGCTGGGTAAAACCACTCCGAGAACAGCACCCTCTGGTGACGGACTGCAGTATAGGTCATAAATCCCACCTCTGCCAGCCATCCTTATGGGGCTGTGGACAATCTTTAGAAATTTATTACACAGAATATAATTGTTTTCTTCCCCCTGCTTGCGATGTTGACATTTAGTTATTATAAGACTGGTTTGTGCTAAAGTCCTATTTTTTTTTGTACAACTCTGTTTTTAAAAGTTAATAGGGGGTTCATGTTTTCTATGATTGACACTTGATGCAGCCTATGGGCGTACAAAGATTGCGTAGCTCACCCGGGGAATACGCGGTTTGAGCCGAGCGTCATCACAGTGACTCTCGGCGACTCTCCCACTGAATGCATATAAAGCTACTGCGGAAGTGGTGGAGTGCATACAACGCTACTGCGCAATGTTGGTTTCAGGAAGTGGAGAAAAAAAGCAGGGGCTTTTTGGCTGAACCAAGGCGGAAAAAGTTGTCCATAGTGTATACAGTCTATGATCCAGACTTAAACCTTCCAAACTTGAAGTGAACACTGTATCTCATTTTCTAGGATGTCAAACAAACAAAATGAACACTCAAAATGATGTAAACCTTTAACTGTGTCATGCTAACCTGAATCCAGAAGTCTAGAAGCTTGAGATGGAGTTTTTCCCTGTGTGGAAGAATGATCCCCCAGTGACAGCCTGTACAGACATGATTCATTTAAGTGCACACAAAAACACACACAAAAATAGACACAATAATGACTCAACTTGCATTTGCGGAAGCACATGAAAAATATGTGATATTATTTAGCAACAGAGGATGGTGTGTTTATGAGGATGTTTATTGGTGTTGCCGACATTTCCCACTTCCTCTGCTTCTCTGATGTTCAGCAGTCTATTAGGTTAGTTCGTACGCTTCTTCAATAGGAGCCTCAGCTAATGATTACACAACATAGCGTGTGAGAGGAGCTCTTGTTATGACTTCCAAACAGCTTTACTAGAACAGCAGAGAAAGCGATCACATCTCCTCTGCCCCCCTTTCTTTCCTCACAAGATCACATTATGCAGCAAAGGTGTTGCAACAGTATGGGGTGACAGATGCTGGTTGCAGCCTTCACACTAAAAGTTTGTTTGCTGTTTCCCCCCCTCCACAACCTCCCCCCTTTATTTCCAAGTCATTTGCATGCACTATATAACACCAGTATTGCGCCTTTATCAAAAACTGTTGCTTGGTCCCGGCATGACAGACCTGCAGCTCAGAGAAGTGCTGTTAATAAACTCCACACTTACAGAGCAAATCAATCCCTAACAGCCACGCAAAAGTGAGAGCGCTGTGTTCGCAAATATAGTCTTCACAGAAACTGCTGTATGTCAACAGTGTTTGCACCATGATGAGGCCATTTTAGAAACAGGGTTATGCAAATTTTTTCGGTTAGGCCTAGGCAGATAAGGAACAAAGAAAGAAGGGAGAAATAGAGTTGAGTTTGCAGCATGAGGATTTTCGTATGCAGAGGTCTTCTAAACGGCTACAGACTGGACTTCAGATATAAATTCTATCTATGAAGCATAAAACTTGTTTTTCCCATCAATATCTATCCTCTGTTGGCTCCACCTTCTATTCTCTATCTTTCTTTCTCTGAAAACTCTGTTTCCTTGGCTTTCCTGCAGGGCTGAACATCCTTTGCCAGGAGCATGCTCATTATTTATGCCACTGAAAATGCAGCAAAGCTATTTGAAATTGCCCGTGCATCTGTTAATGGAATAAATCACTTCTTAATGGGGCTATAAGTTCTCACTGAACAAATTTAGTTTCCAGCTGAATGCTACAAACACACAGCACTGTGCAGTTAGACTCTTGTAATCCTGATGTATGAGGATATAATTGGTTGTAACATTTAAGGAAGAGGGCCTGTGATGTAACTTGAGGATGTACTGCTAGGGACTGTTCAGCGAAACTTCTCTTGTGAACAACAAGACAGACAGACAGCTAGATGCCAGAGGATGAGTGGGAGGAAAGAGAGAAAAGAAAAGACAAATTCAAGAGAGAAAGCCACACTGAAAGGCATGAATAGGTTGCTCACAGATTCTGAAAGCTTTGCCTCTGCGAGAGTTAAGAGACGGTGCTTTCTGTCATTTGTTTGTCCACAGCTACTCGTGAAGAGTGCAAGTGTTCTTGGAACCAGATCCAAGTCCAGTCTGCCATGCTGGTGGAATCGGTCTTCATTTCCCCCGGCGCCTCTCTGTCTCCGCGGGCGAATAGCCCAGTCTGTACGCCATCGCCCTATGTGCCCCTTTTAAAAAGAGAGAGACAGACTGAAAGAGGTGACAAAAGAAGAGCACTCTTTTGTGATAGTTGGAAAAGAAAGGGAGGGTTGTCTGACACTTCCAGCCTGAGCACCCCCCCTTCCCTTCTGGCTGGTAAATCTGGTAAGTGAGGATCTAGTGGATGTAATAAAGCCAGAGGGACCCACGTCAAGAACAGAGATACAGAATTCTACAGGCTCAGACCAAGGATATCATTTCAGGTCCAAATACGTCTTGCATCCCCAAATCATCATTAACATTTGTGTGATATGGCTTAAAATCTGCAGCCCTTTCACTGATTCCACAAAAATCTACAAAACAAAGAAAAAAATGGAAACACAAGTGAGTTTTTTTCAGAGGAGATCCCCATTTATTGACTGAGTGGTATTCAACAGATACTGTGTGTACAGAACAGACTAAAATAATCACATTATTTGCAGATTTGACAGACAATATTCCTGTTCATCACATAAATGTCAAGTCAGTGTTCCAGAGTTGGCGACAAAAATGATCCTGTAACTGTTATGCAGTCAGCAACAAAGGTAGGTAGGCTGTAAAGGAGAATAAAATGGAGGGGGAAAGTGTTAATTGTTTTAAAAAGGTTTCTTTGTTTAAAGGTTCAGAGTAAGTCTCTAACATTTTTAAGGGGGTGTATGAGAAACCTTTATCACTATGACTTTTTCTCTCCTCTTCTGTGCATGCCAGTGTTGAGTCACTAAATGTTGAGTCCAAGTTGAATCCTCAGAGTTAAAGTCTGAGTCAAGTCCATAAAAGAATCTGAGTCTGCGGGTTAGAGTTGAATCCCCATTATTGATGTTGTTTATTGAAAGGAGGACCGCTGCTTTGCCTGAAACTCTTCACTGTATAAACCTCAGCTGACTGTGTGGGACCTTTGGGATGAATTGAAAACACATTTCATCGATTTACATTAGATGCTGACAGATCCTGTCAGCATGTCTGGCACGAGTAACAGTGCTGTGCATTGTGCGTAAATGCATTTCAGTAAGAGGACACACTCATCAATTCTTATACATGAAGTTGATTTTAATGAATTGCCCTTCGGGGATAAATAAAGTTCTTGTATTATGAAGTTGGGTTACTGCAGGTGACTTGAAATTACACTATCAATGCTATCAATCAGAATTTTACAGCCCAAACTCTGGAGATCACTGGGTTGATTCCTCTTGGTTACTGACATGACTGTGTCAACAGTAACATACTATAAACGTGCTACCTACAGCATCTCATTGTCTTTGTCTGGCTGTATGCTGGACAGATGTCTGTAAAAGTTTGAATTTGTCCCTTGCCTTTTTTCATGGCTTCTTAAATATGTACTGAACATGTTGCGCTGCCTTTCCTGGCACTCATTACAAAATATTGTCGAGCATAACACACAATTGGCACCTCCCAAAGCATCCTGGCAGGAGTTGTCGTTCAACAAGAAAACACGTGATTTGATTGTGCATGCAGGTGAACACACACATGCCATCCCTCTATCAAAAGGGCTTATACTAAAATAACAACAAAAGAATAAAAGTCTGTCTCAATAAAGAAGTTTGAATTCTTCTCTTCAGCTTTAAAGTCTTAATACATTCAGTGCTCAAGTTCAAGTCTGGGTCAAAAGTGCTTGAGTCTAAGTTGAGTCATAAGTTCTGGAAATGAAGGCTGCAGTCAAAATCCTTGACTTATATCTGCAGCTTGGTTTTCATGCTTTTAGTAACTTAAGAGGAAAATGATGACAAGCATCCAGATTTGGCCTTCCACACAGTTCTTAACCCTGCTATTTGGTCAGTAAAGAAGATTTGATTACTGATGTTATGGCAATGTACCACACACTGACTTTTCAAAAGGAGGCCATTATCCCCTCTGTGTCTGTATCAGGACTCCTAGGGGGAAAGGATCTGTTTTGGCTGCCCAGAACGGGGCTGGGTTATGGGTTTCTACTGGTCTCCCTGTGGTTCTGGGATCAGCAGGGCTCAGAGGATTACATGGCCTCATAGTGGGAAATGTGCTCTGCTGAAGGACGTGGGGTTGAGATTTGTCCTCCTGTCATAAACAATAATAAATCATACCAAGAAATTTCACTTCATGAAGCATAAAATTACTCATGTATGGCAATAGTCCAGCTCCTCGGATGTTTTCAGACAAGAACAGGATTATTTGATGCTTCCGTTGACGTCTGCACTCCTCATCAAAGACGCAGAAACACAAACAGAGCTGATCCTAATCCATGCCAGCTGCAATATTTAGCAGGACTAAAGAGAGAAGAAGAGTACCCTGGTTTGTGAAACAGCCTCATGAATCTTTTTCTGTTGCTTGTCTTTGCATACAATAATTTCAGGGCACGTGTGTGTTTTATTTGAGCTCCTCTGACATGGCTGTGCCTAACGGTTTTTGACATGTGTCATGTCTTATGCTGACACTGAGATGGAGCGGGAGGATACAGGACTTATCGGTTCATACAAGGTCACTGTGAAGCTCCTGGAATCCATGTTGACAGCTTGTAGTCTTGGTACCATGTACTGTATCTCCTAAGGCTTCAGACCACATGTTGTGGAGGAACTAATGCTTGAAATATTACTATCACCAAACGTTAACAGGTTGAGATCAAAGAAGAAGTTATTATGTTCAGTGGCAGATATTTCATTACTGCATATTATTGTCAGCACATGCCTTATAAATAACAAAAGCTGTGGAGCATTTTCTTTTTTTCATCCTCCTGTTTCAGTGGTACACTAAACTACAAATCCTTTTTGCATTCAACACCACAAACACACTTTTTGAAAATAAACGATTGACAGTTTTAGGTCCTACTCATGAGTATTAAACACAACTTTATTGGTGCAGAGGTTAGAGATCACAATCTGCCATATGTTCAACCTTTAATTCGTGTCTGGAGTGATTTCACTCAAAACCACAAAATTCAACTTTTAGATATCACCAGATATTGAATCAAGGAGGAACCAAAAACTGTCTGAATTTGTCCTAAATAAATCGCTGTAAATTTTCCGCCAGTGGATGTTGAGGTATTTTATAAAGATTTCTTATAAGGAATGTTGTTCAGGTAACACTGAGGTTATCTGATCTAAAGAAAGAGAAATTTCAGTCTGAATCAAAATAGCTAAGTGGTTCTGAAGATGAACTCCCACCATGTTATTTTCATCAAAGTTGAAGTCAGCTTTGCTAAGTTGTCATGGTAATGTGGGCATGTTTTAGTATTTACATCATACAAATTAATAATTCCCATTTTTCTCTAGTTTCCTTCTTTTTGATAACACGGAATCACCTGAAATCACTAGCTTGTTTCTTCATCCAAAACGTTTACTTTAGTTTTAATTTTCTGTAACTATACTATTCTACACAATATTAAACTTTAACAACTTAGTTTAGGGCACCATAGTCTTTTAAACAGGACACCATAAGACTGATGTGGTACTATTCAATAGGATACAATCAATTACAAAACTATACAATATTGTAGAAAACACAAGATAATGAAATGATATGAAAAATATGTTCTCTACGTTACTATGTGATATGGTGCAACATGATGCGATGAGAAACAATATGATATGACATGGTACAAAATGATTGATACAAATTGTACAGTACAATGTAGGTGGATAGAGAGATAACAATTCTACATATAAATGGAAAATGAGTCTGTTGATGTGATATGATGTGACAGTTTTCCCCATACTGTCTGAAATGTTTGTGCAACTGCATCTGCACTATGTCATTATCTTTGCATGATTTCTCTCACAATTTTGTTTATGTACTACTTCACAAATAATAACAGAACATCCACACTTCAAGTCCATGAGTTAGACTTTGTTGGACAGCTACTGTCGATCTCTCTAAATATTAGTCCCGAAAGATTTTTGCAGCCGTCATGAACCTAAAAGTGGAACCAAAATTCGTGTGACTTGTTGAATCCACGAATCTCAGGCATTCAAAACTGGGTCCAAGTTGAAACTGGTTCTTGATGTCTAAGCCTAGTTTCGTCTGTCAAAAAATTACCCGGGGTTAAAAATAATGAAGGCTCTTCCAAATCTGAGAGGTTTATATTAAATGGCATCTGTCCAAGAACCTTTGACCAGCTTTAAAAGATCACTCTAAACCAACAGAGAGCTATTTCTCTTTCAAACATTGATTTTTTTTCAGTATTGATTCTGAAGCAGTAACAAGAATATCTCTGGACATGACTTTGTGAGATCCAAAAAGCAATTCAATTCAGCATGTGTTATGCTCAGTGAGTTTAACAACAGTCCAGGTGCACAGAGTAATATATCATCAAATGTTCTGTGTTACATTTTAGTCACTGCGCACCTCTTCTTCCTGCCTGTCCTTACCTTAATACTGATCCACTCTTCATCCTCTCCCTTCACAACCAGAAGCTCCAGGAGGTGGCATGATTGACAGGCCTGTGCTGTGTCTCTGTTGGATTACCCCTCCTTCTCCCCCAGTTGCTAGGGTGACAGATGGGTTTCCTCTGCTGAAACACTCCGTCTCCATCTCTGTCACTTCAGATTGGTGGAGAGAGGAGGGGTAAGTGCGACTCAGTCAATCCTACACTTCCTATGACAAATCTCAGCTACACAGACCAACAGTATACAGTGAGAGTACATTTTTGTATCTGACTCTGTCTCATAGACTGTCACACTCTGTTCAACACCAATCTTACACACTGTTCTGGACTGAGTGCTGGCTGTCATAAAAGGCAAGCCAGTGCCTTTGAAGGCTTGTCTGTGATTTACAACCATAACATTCTCCCACTTTGCCATACGAGACACTTCAGCACAGTGCTCTGGAGGCTTGCACTATCACAGTAGGAGTATTTTATTCAAAACTAACAAGAACAGGTCAAAAGACAGCCTGAAGGCAGCTACATTTCCTGCTAAAGCAGCCCTCATTTTGTGCAGCTCTCTTCTTTCTTTCTACTGCCAGGCTTTCTCCTTGTCACTAAGCATTAGCTCTAACAGAGTTGCTATTAGCACAGTTCATCATTCACACAGGCAGGGCCCATGGCACAATTGGGCCATTTCCAAGTGAGATGGATGACATCATCCATTGTGGTCGTCGCCAAATCCAATCAGGCTCCCAGACACCAATGTGCAGCTTTGGACATCAATAGATTTGAGCCCATGACATCACCCTTTCGCTGGTTTTCCCCTGTGGAGGTCCTGACATCATCCAGGATGAGTCGATTATCAGGGTGGCTGCTGTCTAATGATCTGTTTTTGTGTCTTCAGAAGCAGTGATTACAGGTTTCGAATCACCTCTGAAAGAATTTGGGAATTTATCATCCTGATCCAGGTGTGAACAATGAGTCATATCTCTTCTGTCTACTGTTCCACAAATCACTTAAGTGTCACACATACAGGTATGGACTTTTTCAAAAGCTAAATTATCTCTCCTGTTATTTATTCTCCAGTATCTCTCATTTCTGGTCTCATTATATGGTGATTTATCCTTGTCAATATGAAAATCTGACCCTATGCTGTTCTGCTGTTCTGATCCTGTTGCCTTTGTTTTTGCAGTTTATTTACGATCAGAGTAAGCACATAGTCTGCATGCTTAACCCTGCTCGAACACAACATTGATCCTGTTGTAATTATTTTGAGTGTATTTCACACTATTTCATTATATTCTATTCCATCCAAGCTGAGCCTTTCAAATCTAAACAGAACCTGTCTGATCTGATCCAGTATGATCCTATCTGACCTCGAGCTTCCCTATGTAACCATATCCACTTTGATCCTACCTTATTTTTCCACATTTATTATGACACAAACTCATCTTGCCCTATCTCACCCTATCTCATGCACTCTTCTTTTCTTGTTCATGTCCTATCCTTTCCCATCAAACGTTCCTCTTACTCACCTTTTCCTATCCATCCAATCATATTTTGGCCCTGATCTAATCTGTTAGCATCTGAAGACACTTGATTTCATTAGTTTTCAAATTATGATTTCCGACTCAGTCAATCAAACCATTTTTTAATTTACCCTATTTCATCCTATCCTATCTCTACGTCACCCATTTTTCTTATCTAACCTATCTTATTTTATCCTTTCCTTTCGATTCGTTTCTTTCTGTTTCTTTTCATTCCTTCTTTTTTCTTTCCTTTTCCTTTCATTTCCTTTCATTCCTTTCATTTCTTTTCATTTCCTTTTGTTTCCTTTCATGTCCTTTCGTGTCCTTTCCTTTCATTTAGTTTAGTTTAGTTTAGTTTCCTTTCCTTTCCTTTTCCTTCACTTTCTTTTCATTCCTTTCATTTGCTTTTGTTTCGTTTCCTTTCCTTTCATTTAGTTCCCTTTCCTTTCCCTTCCTTTCCTTGCTTTTCATTTCATTTCATTTCGTATCATCTCCTTTCCTTTCCTTTCCTTTTGTGTCCTTTCCTTTCCTTTTCTTGTGGTTCATTTTGTTTTGTTTCATTTCGTTTCCTTTCATATTGTTTCCTTTTGTTTCTTTTCTTTTCGTATGGTATGGTTTGGTATCGTTTTGTTTCCTTTCCTTTCCTTTCCTTTGCTTTCTTTTCCTTTCCTTTCCTTCTTCACTCTGGTTCGTGGAAGTGGAATGATCCTGAAAAAGACCATGACTTTTAAAGACTGATGTAGGATTTATAAAGTGACATTTCAAGTTATTTTTACGTGCAAAGCGTGATTGTTCACCTTAGTAAGATTGTCAGTTACAGTTACCAGACAGCAACAGTTATCTCAAATGTGACACCGGCTGTAGGCGATACTACCTAAACTCTCATCCTGTCTCCCTCTCTTTTGCCTTCCTCCATGTTAGTAATCCAAACAGTCCTGAGTCTCTATTCCAATGATCTGTTAGCACTGGCCTCCAGTCCATCCTGACAGCCTTTCCTTAGAGACCGCTCTCACACACTCATACGTATGCACACACACACAGTTTGAGCTATCTGAGAATAATGGAGTGTGACATCACCTCATCGGACTTCACCCACCAAAAACACACACTCACTTTTATCAGAGTCAGTGGAGCCTATCAGCTTCCCAAGAGTTACCTCAAATGGCTCGTTGGTTGTCCAGCTGACATTCACACTCACAGAGACACACATGCATGCTTTTGTTTTTTATATACCTTGGCTGCTGGGATTCAATTCTGGCACGGTTCAGTACATGTTTGATCTCATTATGTTTGTTCTTGTGCAGGAAATGCTTCATCCCATCATCTCTGTCTTCTGTTGTATCTGTTATGCAGTATAGCACCAGAAGTAGAGGCACATGACACACTACAAACTGTAGTTTTTGCAACCCTCTTTGTGTCTTTGAAGCCGGCAGACATCCTGAAAATAAAAGATAGATAGAAAAAAAAAAACTGGAGGAAAGCTCACAAGATTCCCCAGCAGAAAGGAAATCCCACAGGAGAACACGACATCCAACACAACAGAAGAACAAATGAAAAAGATTACTGAAATGCTAAAGCACTGCACAAACACAAAGACACACACACATAAAAAAAACTATGACTAATGTATAAATGTGCGTGTCATGCCTCAATTCCACTTTTCCTCTTCTTCCTCATGTTATCTTGGTAAAGTTCTTGTTGTACCTTGTCCATCTGCCCCCTCAGATTACTGCAGTGCCATATTTGCAGTGTGTTTGTGTTCGGAAAGGAGTGTATATCATCTCTGTCAGGACCCAGACATGTTACATGAGAAGCAGACGAGGGACTGAGGTGAGACGCTGAGCCGTCTGCAGTGATAATGAAGGGAGAACCAGGTGGAGGAGTGTGACAGTCGGATTAGTCATGAGGGGTTAGATATGGTACACACCCTTTCTCTTTTTGGTGCACACATGCACAAAAATGCACCGTACACACGCACATGCACAGCTGCATCCTGTCACATCTGAGCAGTTCAGCCATGTTGTTAGGCAGGTAGGTGACATGTTTAATTAGGGATGGATAATGAACATCAATTTAGGTGCTCAGACACAGTGAACATGGTGTGGAACAGCATGAAGAGTATGCTTCAGTGGGTGGATTTTGCCTCTAAACTTGGGCTCATGAGCTAGAAGTAGACGGGAACAGGGAATTTTTATACTTTTAGACAAGATTTTTGATCAGTGAAGTGTTAAATTATAAAAACTATGAACCATCCAAGTATGAATTCAAGGCGGGGAATCAATGAAATATCCGTTTCTTTACTAAAATGAAACATCCCGTTCTTACCACAACTGCAAAATGTCCAGCATTATGAGTAGAATTTAATTTTGGTTTGCTTTGAAATATGAGATAAAAACTGCAGAAACCGACACGTACAAATAATAGATAAAGTGAAATACAACAAAACCCTTTCTCTTACAATAGTAAAGCTCCCCTCAGGGATTTTTTTCAGCATTCTATAGTGACTACAGGATAAAAAGCACTGTCAAACTGGAGGAATTATGGAGGACTCTTTGCATGTGAATTTTAACTCACAAAGCAAATTCCTAATATCACCGTGACTGTCCTGGTTGTTGCGAGTCAGCAGCATGTGCATCACTAATACTGACAGTGCCGTATCAGCAGGCAGAGAAGAAAAGCAAGAGTGTACATGCTCTCTGCTGTGAGCGTGCTTCAGCTTAACAACATTGCATTTCCAAGTCTTACATACACAGGCATGCAGGGTGGAGAATGAAATGTTGCCTGACAGCAGAAATACAAACACAGAGCATATAAATTTCATATCCTCGCATTCCAAGACTGTCCATTAAAGCCATAACTCTAGCATCAAGACATAGATGCCCACTTATGTCAGCTATTGCTTGACATCCATGACATGTCCGGCTTCAAATAACCACAGGATCTATATAGTCAGTGGGTTATATCTGAATCTGCCTGCCGCAGCATGAAGATCATTGTAGCGGCGCTCCAAGTCATGGACAGCTGCAGAGAACTCTTCAGGGGCATCGAGTGGGTGTACGGTGAGAGGAGATACGAGAGAGCTGCTTCATTATGACTCATAGACAGTGAAGTCTGAGTTTGGACACTTCTGCGTTTGTATTGTGTGAATGACACCTGTGTCATACTTTAACACCGACTGAGTTGTTTTTGGTAGGCAGTAGTTAGTTATCTTTGACACTGTGTCATGTATGCTGTGTGCACTCCTTAAATATCCTTTTGGTTGAATGCTGTTTTCTTGATTGAGCAAAATGGTCTGCTGGCATATGAAAATGAAGATTTGATTAACCTCATTTATAAAAGGTGGTCATCATTTTATCAGTAACACTGTCCCATCTGCAGAAACAATTTTGCACATTATATGCAATAGAGTTTCTATATTTTTTTATTTTGTGCACTCTCCTCTGTGAAACTTAATTAAATAACACACGATGGTTATTGGCAGACACTCTAGGGTTGTAAATAAAGTAGTATTTCAGAATATGGCAAAAAGCCAAACAGTCAAACTACTTGCAGCTTTGTAAATCTTCTGAATATGAGTGCTTGATGCAAAGCTTTGCAATGCTCATCCAAAAGTGCTTTTAGAAAGTTGCGCCTGTGAAGCACAAACATTTTGAGTTCAGAATAAAGCACCCAAGACTTTCAAGTGAGCATATTTCTGTTAAAAAGACATTGTTAGACACCCGTGACTACCTTTAACAAGATGTTGAAAAAGGGTTCAAAGTTAAAGTTTTTTTTTTAAACAGCCTTTTGTCATTGTTGATTAAATGACACACACACACACACACACACACACACACGCGCGCGCACACACACACACACAGACTGCATTTTTGAAGTAGCATTTTCATTATTTTGTAGTCAAAATGAATGGATTGCATTGACTCACAGTCACAGGCACAAAAATCTTAAAAAATGGCATCAAATGGTTTTAATCCTGAAATCTCCAGCGATCAGAGCTTCTACTCTTTAAAAATCACTTGTTTTTCATTGATGTAGTGCATCAAACAACTCTATCAGCGGCCAAGGCTCTATTGAAACTATCACTGCAGAGTTCTGTGCAAAAAAAAGTAAATAATGATCATTTAAAAATCATGACACGATATTATGTTTTCTGTCATGTTTATGCCATAACCATAGGTGACTGAATAATGGTTGAAATTACATCTTGAGCTTTTAAAACGCTCAGAGTGACCTTAGTTTCGCTAAAGTGCTAACTTTGTACTGTCAAGTGCAGCTTGAGATGATCTTAAACCCACCAGCAACTTGATTAAAACAAAGCTTTCAAGTGTCCTCTTCAACTTTGCTGTCATTTTTGTACTTGACAGATACCTCTCATTAAAGATAACATACTCAGAAAGACACAAAGCAGTTTGTAATTTTTACCTTTATCTAATCACACCTTCTCTGCTTTCACTCTTCCTGCTGGTCTTTTGGATTTTTCTATCCAGATCCCTTGGGAATTTGGCAGAATCAGCAATTAGGAAAGCAAATATATCATAATTCATGTAAGTCTAAGGTGGACCAAGACAGAGATGAATCATCTCATGTTAGCAAGACATGAATTGTCTCATTATGTGTGATGATGAACTCATATCTCCCCCGCTTTGTATTCGGAAACAAGCTCTATTGTTACTGATATGGACACACATGAGGTACTTTACACAAAAGCTCTATCAACACTCCTGGAAACACATAGTAGGCACAGCATGCCTCTTTGTAGCTTTCTCCAATGATGTAAAATTGGAAAAAAAAAAAAAAAAAGAAACATTTCACAGTATATCAGATACAACCCTGCATGTAGGGTGATAAATTTGCTATCATGTCCGAGGTATAAAAATAAATCTTCTTTCTACATGCAAAGAAAGTTTTTATGCTTCAGGCTTCCTATGGCAACATCACATCACATGTCTGTATTTGCCAGTGTCTCATTCATGATGTGGGTAATTTATCATCAGACACAAGACTAGTGCCTTTTTGTTAGTCCTTCTATGGAGCCTCTCTGAGTATCCTAGTAACAGGTCTGTGAAAGGGCTAGCACATGGGGGGGTAGCAGTGTCCCCATCCTGATTACCCTCTAATTACTTTAATGGAAGTGAGGTATGTATGGATATCCAAGTCTTTCCCTGGAGACGTCCATATATTGTCAGCCATCAAAGAGGTCACTCATTACCTCTCTGCACCCAGCCCTGATCTAATGCTATAAGGGCCACTTCACTTGCTCTTTACTTTTGTCATTTATTTCTTTTCTTCTGGCCATCATGGAAATTACATTCCAGTTGTAGAAGTATATTTACTTAAGAAAGCTGCTCATTTACGGTTGGGCACGAGAGGCTGTTATGATCTCCTATTGTCCAGCACCTACAGAGCAACACAGTACGCCATTCCAATCACAATGCAGTACAATTCACCCCTATCTGATTCAACATAATGCAGTTTGATGTCATTAGATAATGTGGAGGATTGATCCTATGCAGTTCAATGTGTTTGATTATTTATCAAACATATAAAATTTAGACTTGTAATGAATGAATGAGTCATTGCTAGCCAGCTAGGCGGGGAAAAGTTGCCCATCTCTCTTGTAAAACCTGTAGTGTTCCCCAACTTTGGATTTAAAAGTCACAGGTTTGTCATATTTATGAATACACGCCCGGAAAATTGAACTGTAAATGCATCAAATTTCACTGATACAGACATCTAAATTTGCATCTAAATTTAATCTCGCCAGACTGTGCCTATGTATCAGTACAAATCAGTTAACATTTGGGAGAATATATTATCACAATCCAAACACGTCATGTTGGATGGCCATTTAACAATAAATCCACATGAGGATGCTTAAACAAACTGGTCTTGTATGTCCTTTTCCGTCTGTTTTCCTGCCATCCAACTGCTGCTGTTAAACCTTAAATCAGTCAGTATGCATCTTTCCCTAAGCCCTGGCTATGTTTCATCATATATTTCGTTTTTTACCAACTTCCAAAATCTTTTTCTCAAAAGTTCAGCCATTTACTTATTCTCCTTGTTTTCCTTTGTTGTGTTTGAAATGTTTGTTAGCTACACTGCTCAACATTGTCCTCAAGATTTACTGCAAAGCTTTGTCCTCACCCACAAGCTTATGGAAAATGTGCAGAAATATGGACAAAATAAACACAGAGCATGATAGGAGGCTCTATTCATATCTGTCTGCATGATTGAACGGTGATGATAAATAAGCCAGTAGTTGATTTTGAGATGGATTTTTTTTTCAGTGATTATGAGAAAAATAATAAAAATGACATTTTAGATTCTTTATAAACAAAATAACGCTTGTGCAATAAACCCAAGAAAAGAAAAATACCTAAATGGAAAAGAAAGATGTAGAAGAAGAGCA